CACAAAAACCACATACACATGTGTGTGTATCTACATATTTGAGTATACACGCACATCCACACACATCCTTTTAATTTCCTCTAAAAGCTTTTCAGCTGGCATTCGCAGAAAATATAGAGAAAATAGCTAAAATAAATGGTTTCTACATGATAGAGAAGAATCAAGGAATAATCGTAACATTTTCTTTATTCTCTGATCATTATTGTATGCGAAAAGGGTCTGTTGAAGACAACTTTAAATACATGTGCTGAAAATGCTGAGAAATCAAGTGATTCTTGAATATTGATTTCATTATTTATTCATGGTGAAAACAAAAGCTTTTGTGCTTTAGTGGATAGAGTTCAGTCTTTAAAAGAGCTAACATTGCTTTTGGTGCTAAAATCTTGAACATTGAACTTATTGAGAATTTCCTCTAAAATTTTTAAGGTTAAAGGTTATTCGTTACTTGAAAGTGGCGCTGGCTCTTAGGAACCCTTTGTGATGACACTTTAATGTTGTAAGAACCAGAATATTTATTCAAACCATAGCTCGACTATCACCAACTCAAGTGGCTAAATTCTCTAAGGAGCTAATAAGTTTTTGTCTGTCAATACAATTACTCCATCCTAAAATCTACGATGGAATCATAAACGCTGTACAATCGTCATCAAAGTGCCTTGGCTTATTGTCTTGTTGGTTAAATTTCAAGCTTAACCTAAAATCCTCTTCATCTTGACACAGTAAAGTCATTATAATCCAGCATCTCACACGCAGCAGACCAACAAGATCCTTCTACTTCCACATCACATATCTATCATCAATAACTTAAATAATGTCAGTTTCTATTTCCATTTCTAATTTCATATTCTCACCTCTAACCGTTCTCATATTATAAGGATCTACACACTACACCTTTTCTTCCTCAAAAGGCTTCATTTCAGAAGCCAACAAAAAAAAATCGAGATATAATTTTTCAGGACAGGCTTTTAATGAAATTAGAAATAATAATGATTACGTGAAAGGAAAGATAAAAATAATAATAAAATGACATGCTTGTGTTCATGAGCCGCTCAACAACCAGAAAAAGGAACAAAACTGCTATTTAGGATCGTGTTTAACAAAAATTTATTGTTTTTCATTAAAATGCTTCTCGTCGACGACAACCATCGGTTCCCTTTATTGTCATTTTCAGTTTTTCTCCACACAACATATAACAATCGGAATTTCAGAATGCGTGCTAGGGGCCAAATAATAATTTACTCCATGTATCATTCGAAATGGCAACTTGAAAAATATTTCTAGGAATGAAAGTTTTGGCATGACATAAATATTTAGAGATAGCGATGAATCTGAAGCTCATCGGATGGATTGAGAGGAAGATAAATGTATTTTGTGTGGCAGATGTGAGTCGGAAATTAGAGCATGAAACGCTTTCTACGGTTTTTTGGAAGGAATTAAAAGCTGAATTGAGTTAAAGTGGTTCGAAAGCTAAGTGGACTAATGCTTTAAATCCTAAAAAGTTGAAGTAATGACACAAGATTCTGGGGTTCAAATCCCAACAGTATAGCTTATCTTTTGGTTAGCAGGAGGTTCTTGATAATACCAGCCACAACCAATTTAAATAACTGAACATCCAGCTTGTCAGAAGCTAAATGATAGATTGAGTTTCGAAATATGAATACCAACTTCAATTGCCTATTAATCTGCCAACTTTACAGTCCCAAAACACCTGCAATTCCACAATAAAAAGTCTCTCAAAACCGATTTTAAAAATAATCACGAGAGTAAATATAGTCACGTAATTTTTGAAGTGCATGATTCTTCTTCATTCATCCTCTTGTCACAAAACAACACAATATGTGTTTATGTTGTACATTATTTTTCCCTTTCTTTCTCGATTTCGGGTCGTTGGCATTTGTGATATTCATACAAATGTCCTTATGATGCATGAACAAGAAGAATATTGAAGGATATGTGATCAAAATTATTTTTAATAGAGCCTAAATTTGAAAAGTTTCTTCAAAATGGGATGATGAAAAAAAAAATTGAATGACTTTTGCAGGCCCTTTTTAAGGTCTTTTATATGAAAATTGGAACAATATGCTTAATCGTGGGTAAGGAAAAAAGGTCAATGAAAAATTTTATCGCTCATATTTTATGCTTAGTGTTAATGAATTGTTAAGAGCATGTCTGAACTTAATAGATGGAATCAATTGTTCTTAATTTAATAAAGTGCCATTAAGCTGGTTAATCCGAAGAGTTAATTTTAATAGATTTTATTTTTAGATAGCAAAAAAAAAAGCTGACAATAAGTTTGAATCGGAGTTTATTTTAATTAAGTTTTTTTTTGGTCAATGGACTATGGAAAAGGTTGTGATGTTATCCTTGACTTCGAATAATTAATATAAGGTATAGAAGCATACAAAAATTGGTTCATTGTCCAAGACAGGAACAAGATATATAAGCTTAAAGTAGATATAAAATCTACTTCAATCCCCAATAAACTCCACATCCTCATTCCACATCTTTAAAAAAAACTCTACTGGATCTTTCCAAATCACAAAAAAATAGCATCCAATAAAATTTAATAAGCTATCCTATGTGTTTCAATTAGTTTGATGTGCACGAAATGTGTCAAGCATGAAGCATAGCTGTGCAAGAAAATTGTAAACAATTGCCAAACGAGAGAACGTGCTGAGCAGCGGTCATGAGACGTAAAACATAAAACTTTTTTTTTGTCCACAAGATGCAATGAATGCTGTTTTATCTGTTCTCAAAGGCAGCAGGAACAAATAAACAAACAATAAACAATGCCGGGTTAACTTACCGCTGCTATTTAATTTTGAGTTCAAAAGTTTTTCCATCTCAAATGCAATTACAATTGAAAAAGGGAGTGGATGAAGAAGAGTGTGAGGAAGTGCAAGTTCGAATTGAAATTTGCTGGATATAACGCAATCCTAAGAGGAGAGATACTGGATTTAAGGTTGCGATTTACTCAAGGTTTGACAAATTCATACACAATTATGTGCTTACGCAGGCTTCTGGAAGTGAATTGACTGATTTTGTCAATATGCTTCTTTCTGTATAGCGTTTAGTTTGATTCGAGTCATTAATCTCTATTTAAATAGCAGTTCCTTAGCAAATCCTTCAAATTCTCATTGATAAAACTTAAAATATACATTTTGATGCCTAAAATGTTCATTATAGTTCCGCAAAAATAGCTATCAACTGCACATAATGTTCAAAAACAAAATTTATGAAAGAAAATGAAACGAAAGCTAATTGAAGTGGATTAAAAGCTTATGGTTCACCTTGCTTTGTTTGTCGTTTGAGTGTGGGTTGCTAGATAGGAAGAAGTTAAGTGTAGGTTGACAAAAAGGGAATCGAATCTTCGTGCTTATGCCATTGTTCTACCTATAAATAAATATCCTTTGGTACTTGCTCAATATTTGCGCATTGTCTACGAAAATAACAGAGAAAAAAGTTTAGCAGCAGAACATAAAGTCGTAAATTTCTTCGTTTATTTCATTCCGACCGTGTACTTTCTACCTTTTTCACTGATTCTACGACATCCTATCCACACATGCAATCACAGCATGAAGTCAATTATTTATTTGTCATATGTACGGTTGTACAAATTAAATTTTTTCTTGCTTATTCTTTGCCTTCTTTTTTTCAAGTGATATTACAGATACCATACGTAAGAAACACACTAAGAGGACATGTACATGAAACGAGTATGTAATGACATTAGATATCTTCATCTTGATTTCAAAGGCAAACATTTCATGAAATGAGATTATTTCGAGCCTTACGAGACATAAAATGAAGAAATAAATCTCAACAAATGGCATAAATATTTTTATACGCCAAATATTTGTCCTTATGTATGTTTAGAAGATGAAGGAACCTTTTTCGGAAAACTTTGTGAGAGCATTTAATTATGGTTGAGTTTGGAGGATGTATCTTAATGAATTTGGGAAATGTTGGCTGGTGAGTTGTGGATTTTAATAAGAAATTAAGTATGCATTATGGAGTAACCTTTAAAAGGAACGTGGGAGATGGTTGTTTACTAGATCGAGAGCTTAAAATGTTAGAAATTCATTTGATAAAGTTCTCTAGTCTCTGATCGGATTACCAACTCTATCTTGAACCCTTAATTGACATATCTCGACAAATTACATTCAGTTCTCAATTTTATTAGACTACCAAATAGTTGAGAAGCTGAGAACCTATCCATATACATGCCTTAACTGCTCAATTATTGCTAGGAAACCTACTTTTCGAACTCTTTCATATTATTTTCTCAGAAAAAAAAAATTAAATTTCAATTCAAACAAGCTTTTCATCCAAAACACCAAATCCACAACCTAATATCACCTCCTTTTTTTTAATCACTCAAACTCACGAGAAAAATCTCATCAACTCAAAATTCTCTGACCAAAATCTCCTTTAATCACCTCCAAAAACTCATTTTAAGCTATAATAATCTAGCTTATGCTACAAAAGAGGAATTTTTTCCTCAGAATAATCTCTTTTCAGACATAAATTGACCATTTACGAGCCAATGACCTGCTTCATAAATCTCTCAGAAAAATCCTATCGATCATTTCAAAACCAATCAGAAAAGGAATGAAAAACTTCAAAAAAATGTGGTACGAATCTATCCTTTCAGACGTGACGTGCATCAAATAGCATTTTATATGTTCTATTATACTCAAGTGCTTTAACAAGCACGAGCTTTTTTCTTCTATGAGCTGTACGATATCCACTAAATTCTCCATTCTTATTTAATTGTTCACATTTTTCCTCATTGTTTTTCCATCTTTCTCACATCGGTCACGTTATATGGACATAGAGGAAGTTAATAAGAAAAAACTTATTTTTTTTTTGATTCTGTGTGCTTCCTCAAGACTGAACTTTGCTACTTAAACATTTGAGGAGAGAATTGCATGGCTATATAGGATAAAAATGCTTAATGAATAGTTTTTGTCTGTGCTGTGGAAAGAAAAACAAATTTGTTTGTTGGTAAGACTTCATTTCCTTTATATCCTCATTTTTTTTTATTTCTCTATTTATGCAATATTTAATTTTATTGTTTGTTCACAAAAACAAGTTTTTTTTTTCATGTATTTGAACTAGTTCACTACTTACAGGGACTTCAGAAGTGTAGGATGATGAGGAATTGTTGTTATTTGTGAGATGTTGAGATTAAGGTTGACTATTGTGTTGTTTAAGTATCTAGGAGGGGATCCACGTGGGCTATTTTAGTATAAAAACGTAATCTTGATCTTAATACAAATTAAAAATTAAATGCTTACAATATACTGAATATTGTTAGTATGTTATTCTATTTGAGCTGTTAGCCTGATGTAACCAACTTGTTATATCAATGAAGGATGCATAACATCCAATTTACCCCCAAACTTCACAATAATACAACAATTCTCCATCAATCTTATAACTTCTGATGATTTTTTTTTTGTTACTTTATAAAATGCATAGATTATTATTATATTATTAAGGTAGATAGAATTTTACTGGCACCGTGAGAGAACTTACTTATTATTTCATTATTTTTCAATTTTATAGAGATGACAGAGTTGATAGTCAGTAGAATAAGCAGATTAGTGGAGTTTTGTTCTTATCAAGCTATAGCATTAATATTTCAATCTTAAATGCAATAATTCACTTTAAACATATCATCATCCAAGCTTCAACAATTACCCATCCATAAAATTCGTAATCACAACAAAAGGTCATCGATCTTAAGCCATTAACTCATAAGCCTCAATTCATATCACTTTTAAAAAGCCATAAAAAACTGAACCGACATTAAATGATGAATATCGAGATAAAGCAATTAAAGAAAAAAATTTATGTACACAGTCATCAAATTATATCACATTTATGCTTCATCTCCGACTCATATTTCACTCTTTGAGTCAATCATAATATTTTTTATCGCTCAGTTGTTGATTATTATTCACAAATTGTTATGAAATTGATGCTGGTTTTGTATTATTTGGGTTTGAGTGAATCATTGTGTATTATTGTGGCTCGTATCGCATTTTTTGTGGTTTAAGTCAAGCTATAGGCATTTGAGTGATTATTCTTGGTTTTGGGTAATTTTATAAGGGACGTCCAGGACTTTGATCTTAATTGCCTGTATCTCACTATGCTCTTAGTGCCCCATAAATTCAAGAGTTTCAATCTTAAACATTCCACTGACCCCAAATCTGGACCAAAACAAACAAAAAAAGTAATCATGAAGACTCAAAATTCAAAAACCTCTAATAATGATCTTAATTTAGACAATGTCTCAAATAAAATAATATTAAATATAAAAGCGTGAATTACAAACTGGTCGAGATACAAAATTAAGTTGTAAAAACGTAGGCAACCGTTCCAAGTGATGGCTTATAATAGTTTGGTTTTAATCCTTGCAAATCTGTTTGACTAATTCATCTAATGGCTCCATTTCCTTAATCGGGATGAGATCAAATTCTTTTACGAAATAATAGAAATGCTTGAAGCATGAATTGACATGCGGTTCGGCACCAATGCAAACAATTCTGTGAACAGAAATAATCAAGATAAATTATTGTTATGCATTGTCGAACGTTTACGGAACTTCCTTACCTATCAAAGTGATGAATATAAACATGCACAAAAACGCGAAACAAACGAGTGAGAATCTTTTTGCTGAGTGTCTGAAAGGAACGTGGAAATGGCACATCCGTTGTAACAGGAAATATTTCTTCATTATTAATTTGACCTTCAACCCAATCCATAAGATTCTCAATGTACTTTGGTGCTGGAAGTGCTGCTGGTTTCTTGTAATTTACACCATCTTGCCAGAAATATTCATATCGTGAACCACCACTCATCTTTGGACATGTTGTCTCTGTACAATACTCTGATACAGTTCCATATATTAAGTTGATTCGATTAAAAAAGTCCACGACATGAACAGCAGTCCAGTCATTCATATCTTCGCCTGGAGGGAGTCTAACAGCTTCTCTTAAATTTATTCCTGATGAAAGGCTTGCCTGTGCTTGCTTGTGAAGAGAATATCGGATTGTTCCATGCGTAAATCTCTTCTTTGGTCGGAAAGTCTGAAGAAAGTCACAAAAAATTAATTAAAAATAGAAAAAAAATTGTGAAAAATCTTTGTATGACTCAAATACCTTTCCTTTTTTGTCCATTAAATGGAAGAATTCTAGAAAATTATTCATGATTTTTGTACTTTCAAGTCACACACCTCAGCCTATGTACAACCAACTTAATTAATTTGCACCAAAATTCAAAACTTAAATTGTTTAAAAATCCAAATATATTTTTTTTATCGTTTAGAATCTTCTTCAACTTTTTCTGCACTTCTCATTAATGATTGTTTTGTTGATGACTCCTCGAAATTCTTTTAGAGTTCGAATATTTTGAGATTTTCAAGAATGTGTTAACCGGAAATGTAGACTGGTTGTTTTTATTTGCAATTCTGTTGTCTGATTGGAGTGACAATTAACAACTATCTCAGAATTGAGTTTTTCAATCTAGAATCTACAATCTTTAATTCATAATCTGACTCAAACATTGCATTTTGTAGTTTTTTCAGTGATTTTAAAGTCGACATAAATTTTCAGCTTAGCGCATTTTTACAAAACACTTCAAATTCTTCATTTTCACAACGGATTCTCGAAAATCCAATTTTAATGATTATTTTCCCAACAAAATTTTTTTCAACTAGTGAAAATTCGTCATTTATTGTGAAAAGTTTTTCCATTTTCAAGTTTTTTTAAATTAAAATTTTTTAAGTCAATTTTGAAACGTTTAGCAATTCTTACCAAGTTTACTCTAGTTGTTGTGTGCTGTAGAACTTATTATACAATAAAGGTAATGCACAATTGCTATCGATTTTCAAATGACAATGAATCTTAATTTCCTTCAAATTGCAAAAAACTTTTCAGTTGATTAATTTTTATACTTTTATTTGTATTGATATGAATTTTATGGAACTTATAACTTTTTCAAGTGCCTCGCTTGTTTTTAGTGACTAATTTATCATTATGTTGTTCAGTTTTGTAGCTTTCGTTTCGCAATAAAGTCATCGTCTATGAAATGATCTGTTTTATTTATCAGTGATTTATTCTTGCGATAAATTATTTTTTGAGAGTAAAGTTTTCAGCTTGTGATTTAATTGGAAGTTTGTGAGTCAAGTTCTATTAGTGAGTAATGAGTTTTACAATTGATATGAAATTGTAAATTTATCTGAATGATGAAAATGAAAATTGTAAATTTTTATCTGAATTAAAACTATGAATTTTGTGAAACTAAAGTTCTTATAAGTTGAGTTAAAGTTCTTAAATGATACTGCAATATAGGAAACATAATTAACAAGCATCTTAAGTTTTGCGGAGCTTCAAATGTTCAAGATAAATCGAGAAACCGACTCATTTTTGTATAAATAAGCTAAACTGCCACATTAAGTTGACGGCAAGATTGTTTATATCAAAATGACAGCTCGTATTGTTTTAATTTTCGGTTTTTATTTTAATGAAAATCAAGAGGCAAGAAAGTAAGCATGTTTATTAGACTTTCTTTCTTTCTCGCATTCTTGGTTTGTTATTTGTAATATACTTGCGGGATTGTTTAACACAATGCTCCCGCAGATTACAATCTTTGAAAAACGAAGATTATAATCTTTTTATGAGATTATTTAAAGATTATAATCTGCGGGAGCCTTGATTTAACACACTGGTTAATATTATACAGATTAAAAAATAATGGATTTGTAGCATCTGTTTTGTAATCAAATGAACAAGTCGAAAATTCTTAATAAGGTTAATCACAAATTGGATGTTTCGTAAGAATTGAATGTTGTTGCAGTTCTTTTCTTGTCACAAACCTGTTTTTAAATGTAATCAATATTCAAGTCTGGAACGAAAACAATTTAAAAGAACTTAAAATTACCATTAAGGTAAAATATTGTAGGTAACTTGAAAAAGTCTTATGTCATTGCTTTGGTAGCTTGTTAATCATATAAAAATTAAATCTAATTGGTTTGTTATTCAAAATATAAAATCAAAGTTCATATTACAATAAACCAGCAATTACTAGCACAGACAAAACAAACAATAACTTCAAAGAATTCCAATAAAACTCAATTCTGTCAATAAAACTGATCACATCATTTCCAAGTGCTTCAATCATGAAACATTTTATCTTTATTGGTTGTTATTTGCCGAAAAGCACACAAATAAATTCATTTGTTCTTCACATATTCCCCATTCATCTGACCTTCAAAAAAAGAATCAACACGCTTCGTGTTCATGCGTTTAGTATGAAATCATCAACATCAATTCTATTGTGTGACTTTACGATAAATGAGAAGCGCGCGAGAGAAACAAAATATTTTGAATATATAGTTCAATAAACTTTGAATCGATATTCATCGCTAAAAGCATAGACAGAACGTCTAACATTTTCTTATATCCACACATTGTGAACAGCTGATTATCGATCATATTGTTTCTAAAAATAAAAATTGCGAGCATAACTAAAGCAAAGTAGTTTCTATCGAGACATTTTAGCCGAATGCCGATAAACAAAAGAAGTCAAGCAGCAAAAATACTCAATTATTCTAACATCGAGAGTGAGAGCGAGTAGTCAAACGAGTGAAAAAATAAAACCAGTGTAAAGTCGCGAGCGGAACTTCAATTGTGCAAATCACTCGCTAATTTTCATTTCTTTAGTTTTTCGATCTTCAACGAGTAACGATCACGAGCTTAAAAATTCTTGCTGAGGAATTGGGAAAATTTTTATAAGGTGTGAAATATTTTTTAATAAATTCCAGTGAAACAAGTCTGAAGAGCTTTAAAAGTCATTGGAACTTAAGTTTCATCGATAATTGTGAATCAGGAACCGAAAGGAAGTGGAAAATTTTCAAAAAGAATTAAAATAGAAATTACGTAATTTGTGAAAATTGCAATTTTCGGTTGCATAGAAATTTTTAAAGGAACAAAAATTTGCATTTTAAAAATTTTTACTGCGCAACACAGAAAAAAATAATATTTGCAGTCAAGAAACTGTTTTCATCATCGCCGCTGGAGACAAAAATATTTGCGATGATTCAAAAGAAAAAAAGAATAAGAAGTGATACTAGATTATACATCCACAGATAGGCATGCAGAAGACCAACCTGTGAAAAAATTACTCAATCAAGTAATTCAATCGTTTTTCAATTTTCGGAACTTAGTTCCTCAAAAAAAAAGATGTCGATGCGAAAATAATTGAGTAATTTTCAGCACACGGTTTGCATGTCAGTTGTTTAATATTTTAGAGCACCTCTCTCAAATACGATACATGCTTTTACATTCTCAAACCGAACCTACATCAATTTTGAGCTTTGCTCACCGATGCTCGGTTTTGTTTCTCACTCTCACAACCTTGACTTTGTGAAAAGTTTCTGTTTACTTTCTATTTATACAGGCATTGTAAGTACAATTAACATGTGCTTATTAATGAGAGTGTTTTGTATTAGGTGCTACATTGAACATTTTTTTAATAAGTGACTGTCACGTGGTTTTCGGTAATTCATAGTCAATCGTAAGTGCTGATAGAGTAAAATATTGTTTGTGAACAATTTTGTGCTTATTTTTAAAATTCCACAAATCTAATTGCAATTCTCATTGAAATCATAAAGATCAATTAGTTGGATGTGAGATATATCCAGATAAGTCACAGTTCTTTGTAATAATGTAAGATAATTAAAACAAATCTGTGCCATTTATACTGAGAATGTAAATATTTACAGAATAATGTAAATTCAACCGATCTTAAATCTTAATCTAAAAGCATTAAAGTGAGAAATTTTATTTACATTCTCAGAAGTGCTGGATACATATTTGTATTTGCAGTCTTGTGTAAATTAATAATTTTCCGAGCAATTCCGTTTAAGTCAACAAATGTTTGAAATTATAAGCAGTGGAAATGAATGGATATTATTTCTTGAAATGACATTGACGTGATATCTGATAATAAAGTTTGAAAGTTTTAACTTGATTTCAGTGTTGCAAATGTAGATGTCTACACTAGATGAATTATGTAGATTCTTCAATAGTTTTTGTCTAGCTAAGAAACTTTTTTCATAAATATCGATTCTATATGAAGATAGAAAATCTAATCTAAACAAAGATTATTTCTACATAAAGATTCTGTCTACATAAAGATTTGATGTAGATGTCTACAATTCTACATTCTTCTCTGATGTAGACCTGGAAAAAATGTAGAATTGTAGACATCTACATCGAATCTTCTCTGATGTAGACCTGGAAAAATGTAGAATTGTAGACATCTACATCGAATCTTCTCTGATGTAGACCTGGAAAAAATGTAGAATTGTAGACATCTACATCGAATCTTCATGTAGACAGAATCTTTATGTAGAAATAATCTTTGTGTAGATTAGATTTTCTATCTTCATATAGAATCGATCTTTATGAAGAAATTTCTGTCTCAGAATTTATCTGATCTAGACAAATGGCCAGAATGCAACACTGCTTGATTTTGTATGAAGTTCAATAGACTCTATTCGACAAATTCATATGATATCTTAGTTGACTTCGCCTTCTGTTGAAACTGTTTAATTCGAGTGGGATTCGCCTTTGAATTCTGAACGAACTGGCTAGCAACTACAGTGCTTGTTATTACTAGATTAATGTAACTTTACTAGGGATTCTAATTTCTTGAAACTAAAGCAATTATGCTCGGGATTTGATGTTTTATACTTGTGGATAAATTGATTTTATTGAAGACTAATTACATCAAGCATATCAGATTACTTATTGCTATTTATAATCTTAGTCTCATGTAAGCTTACCTTGAAAACAAAACAGTCAGGAAAATTCAACTCCATATGACAGTACAATTACGTTTGTAAATTAATCATCATCAGCAGTCAAAAGTCAATTGATTTTATTTATTGAACGATAAGGAGACATGTGCTTACTGCTCGATTTTCCGCTTACCTTTGAATAATTCAGCGTCATTTTAATAGCTTGTTTTGCAGAAAAATATGATTAAGTATGAGTTTCATTGCTGATGCACGTGTATATACAGTAAATAAGGATACACTATCGTCAGATTAAAATAATTAACTTATAAAGCTACTAGACTGTCGTAGAAATAGTTGATGGATATTAAAAGGACGCTAGAAATAAACTTCATTCCCAACACTTCAAGTTATTAATAAAAACTTAAGTAACAATAAAAATCTTAAAGAAATTCAATAATAGCTTGGCACTAATTTGACAAAAGCTATGATTTATAAACAAAAATAGAGCAATTATCGTAATAATTGCCAAACTAGTAGTGCTCATTTAGGAAAGTACAAATCGAGGTCAGATGAAACCCTTTAAAAAAATTATAAATATACGTCTGGTTAAGGTAGTGATATGATTTGGGTTTGAGGGTTTAAACAAGGAATAGAAAATCCAAATCTTTTTGGTTAGCTATAGCTTTTAGTACAAAATGCAATTCCAAAAAGCAAAGCAGCTGTTTACTCTCAGCATGCAACCACAATAATTAGAAAATCCTTCAAATATTTTCCAAATGTCAATACGTTCACAGCAGGATTAGGTCTATAAAATAAAATAAACAGTTTTCCTATCAATAAATCTCATTTATCACAACATGAGCAACTTTATTACTGCCACTATCTTCTGTAAACAGCTAAGAGTGCATACAAATTCAATTAATACTTTATTTTCACATATCAAGAGCATTTGTTGAGCTTCTCATTTGAATCGATAACTTGATAAAAGCATCCGTTTAAATGATGAGATAGAAAACAGTTCAGTTCCTATTTTTGTGTCTCTACGATAGGTTTGGCAAATTCTTTTATTTCCCAAAAATATTTTACTTCAATAAATCTTGTCACAATTTCACAATGAATATAATTTACAGATCTAGAAAATGGCATTTCGAAAATTTGGCGTGACAGCTCTCGGAACATTAGTTGGCGGTTCGTTTGCAACATATGCACTCCGTCAAAATGATGATATGGTTGCGAGAGTACAACTTGAAGAAAAAGTAATTAAACGAGCTCGACAATTACCACCAAGATCAGAGCAAATTACAGCTATGCAATCAGGAGAGGAATATGACGTGTTGATTATTGGAGGTTAGGAACTTGATCTTGATTCGGATTTATTAGACTTTATAGATTATCAATTTTAAATTAAGGTGGTGCTACTGGCGCTGGTGTAGCATTAGATTCATGTACTCGTGGATTGAAAACTGCTTTAGTTGAAGCTAATGACTTTGCTAGTGGTACATCCTCAAGATCAACAAAATTGATTCATGGTGGTGTCCGATACTTACAGAAAGCTATTTTAGGAGTAAGTTTGATTTTATATTAATAATATCTTCTGCTCTTATTGATTTATATCCAATCCTTAGCTTGATATCGAACAATATAATATGGTAAAAGAAGCTCTTGCTGAGCGCGCAAATATGCTTCAATCTGCCCCTCATCTTACTCATCCCCTGCCTATTATGTTGCCAGTTTATACGTAAGTATTGATTGAATCTGATAAAACTTTGAGACTAACGATTGTTCCTTTATTTCTCTCATAGATGGTGGCAAGTTCCATATTTCTGTAAGTTTAACTTCAATTTATTTCCAACTTACTCTTATTCCAATTTTCACTATAACAGGGGTCGGTATCAAGGCATACGATCTTGTCGCCGGTGACAGAAATGTCAAGTCAAGCTATTATCTTTCAAAGCAAGATGCCCTCGAGAAATTCCCCATGCTTAAGAGTGACAAGCTCTGTGGTGCTATCGTCTACTATGATGGTCAACAAGATGATGCCAGAATGTGTATCTCTGTTGCCTTGACTGCTGCTCGTTATGGCGCTTCTGTCGCAAATCATGTTGAAGTTATGGAATTGCTAAAGAAGAAGGATGCAAGTGGAAATGAAGTCTTGTGTGGTGCAAAAGTAAGAGATAATTTGACCAAGAAAGAATGGACAATTAAGGCAAAATGTGTCATTAATGCTTGTGGTCCATTTACTGACAGTATCAGAAAGATGGATGATCCAACAGTCAAAACAATTTGTTGTCCAAGTTCTGGTGTTCATATTGTATTGCCAGGATATTACAGCCCACAACAAATGGGTCTTCTTGATCCAGCAACTAGTGATGGTCGTGTCATTTTCTTCCTTCCATGGTTAAAAGGAACAATTGCTGGAACAACTGATTCACCATGTGAAGTCACTCGTAGTCCAGCACCAACTGAAGAAGATATTTCATTCATCTTAAGTGAAATCAAGCATTACTTGAACAAGGATGTTGATGTTCGTCGTGGTGATGTTTTGAGTGCATGGTGCGGTATCCGTCCACTTGTATCTGATCCAAATAAGGATGATACTCAATCACTCGCTCGTAATCACATTGTTCATGTCAGCAAGTCAAAACTTGTTACAATTGCTGGTGGAAAATGGACAACATATCGTGCTATGGCTGAACATACAATGGATGCTGCAATTAAGGCATGTGGCTTGAAGCCACATCGTCCATGTGTTACTGATAGGATTCAAATTGAAGGTAGCCACGGATGGACTCCAACAATGTATATCAGATTAGTACAAGATTTTGGATTGGAAACTGAAGTCGCACAACATTTGGCCCAAGCATACGGTGATCGTGCATATCCAGTTGCTAAATTAGCTGCTTTGACTGGTAAGAGATGGCCAATTATTGGTAAAAGAATCCATCCAGAATTCCCATACATTGATGCTGAAATCAGATATGGTGTTCGTGAATATGCATGCTCAGCTATTGATATGGTCGCACGTCGTCTTCGCTTAGCCTTCCTTAACGTTCAAGCTGCACAAGAAGCCCTTCCAATGATTGTCGATATTATGGGTGAGGAATTGAAATGGTCAAAGGATGAAAAAGAACGTCAAATGAAAATGGCAACAGACTTCTTAAATGTCGAAATGGGTGCTCTTGTCAATAAGAGAACACAAGAAACTGTTCCAGTCAACTTGTTACCAGAAGAAGTCACAAAATACAGAAAACGCTTCGATATGATTGATGTTGAGAAGAAGGGATATGTCTCAATTAACGATATTCGTAGAGCTTTGAAGGTACGTTTGGGGATTTATAAACATTTTCTTTGAATCTCTAAGCACAAACAGCTTTAGAGATTGAACTAGGTCAGGACTTGGCTCTCATATCATTCTATTTGTAGAGCTTCGGAGATGCAGATATCACTGGAGAGGAACTTCATGACATTCTCAAGGAAATTGATACCAACATGAATGGTCAAGTTGAACTTGATGAATATCTCCAGGTAATTTCCAATTAGATTTTTTAGAATTCGTAGCTTGAGGATCAAATTAAGCTTCACTTTGCAAAACAGCGTGGAATCTAGAGCATTAACCTCGAGCTAAACTTATTTTACTCTCCAAATTCACAGATGATGTCAGCCATTAAATCTGGCGCTGTAGCTTACTCGAGATTCGCCCGTGTCGCTGAATTAGAAGAAGCTAAGCAAAATGAACTGAAAATTAAGCATAAAATCTCAGTAGATAGGTCTGGCGGCGGTTTGTAATCCTTTTCATTTCATAAATTAAACTTTTTATATCTCTACTACTATTCATTGTCCTGCTATCTCTCTATCTCACAAATTTGAGACACACTACCTGATTATATTATTGACAATTGATATTGACTGATTGAAAATCGCATTAAGCGATAATTTTAATTGCAAAATGAAAAAGACATGAAATTATTTACAAATGATACTCATACAGGGTAATTAAGTATGATGCGATTGGAACTAAGTGTATTAAAATTTTATACAAATTGGCAACTTTACAAAAATAAATTGGGTTTGAAAAAATCTGAAAAATTTTTATTTGCACGAAATAACTCACATGTCGCATGCCTTGCATCTCCTGTCGCTTTTTCCAAAATTTTCATTTTCTCATATCTTAATCGTTTTTTGCACGCATAGTTAAGCATTAATATCACTAACACATCTCACTCACTCTTTTCTGTTTTTATTTCTGTACTTTTATTCTTTATTCTCTTTCTCTATATAGGAACTTAAGGTGAATAAGCTAGCGAATGGAAAGTGGATAATTTATTAACTTTTAGGCTTAATACACGATAAACAAAAAAAGGCACCAAAAATAAGCGAACAATTTTAATTTTTTTTCCGTTGTGATGATTTGTTGTTCCTAATTCCGATTTCATAACTGAATATTGTTATTTAATACAAAGTTTGGAGATTGATGTTGAGTTTGATGGTTATTCATGATTGGGAAAATGTTCAAAATCACCAATCAAGACTCTTAGTTGAAGCTATAGTTCAAGATGAACGGACTTAATGATGATATACCTGAATCCAGCATTTGATACTTCTTTGGTAATAAAATTCATGGATGAATGATGTCAAACAATGTTTGTGGACGAGACTTGAAGATTTTAGACGTTATGTATCAACTGTTTCTGTTATACGCCGACAATTCTGAATCTCATCAAGTATTGAAGTATTTAACGTGAGTTAATATGGAACATCCATAAGCACAGAACTTGATGGTAGTCAATTTATCATCTTACACAAATGATTCATCATTACTCTCACCATTTAAGATCTCCTTTTTGATAGAATTGATATTTTTCCCATCAACAACCTCCAACTCAATTCAATCTCCTTAATTATACCGAAGAAAAGACTATTGCTACTTAACATGTTGTTGTTGTTGTAATTCTTCCCTAATAATGCGACGAGTAAGTGATTTTACCTTTTTTTTTTGACTTTTGTCAATAACAATAAGTTTAAATAAAACAATTTTCTTTAAATGTTAAAGTTTCATCATCTTAAAAAGAGACTTTCTTTCTTTTTTTTCAATTTATTTTTTAATTATCGTCATTTTTGTGAATTACACATTGATACATGTAAAAAAAAGTTTACTTATCGACTACAGAAACCTATTTACAAGATAAACTATCATGAGATTATGTTATGCACACTTACATCATTAACTATAGAATTGGACCTTAACACACTACAGAAACATCAATTTTATTTGTTACCGAAACGTCTTAATTTTAACAAATTTTGTTTTTATGGCTAAAAATTTCAGCTAAAACGACAAAGAACGAAACGAAATTTCCTAATTTTTCAAGCGCATCCTTTTTGGCAAAAAATTAATGCGCACATCTCTCTTTTTCAGTTGACAAATCAACGGTCAATTCTTGTATCAAATTTAATGACGAGAACATTTACGAACTTAATGACTAACAAATAAAAATGAATCTCCAATGAGATAAAAAGTTTAACGCGAATTATTACAATTAATATTATTCGACGGTGTGTGGACATCAAAGTGTAATGGATACTGGCAATTGGGTAAGTTTTTCAGGAAATCTATTTATTTTTTGATGACAATTTCAAATTAACGTTTGATTATCTGTAGCATCCAGTTGCTACTTAATACTATCCCAAACCAGAAAACGACTTATCTTAGATCTGATCATCATAATATGCACTCTAGTAGTTGATCGACAGTCAGCATAGCTGTGAATCTCTGCAATCCTTATTACCTAAATGCTCCTAGTTCTTCAAGCATTCCTTTAACACTCCTTAAAGCCACACATTACAATATTTCACAATTAATTCGTCTATATACAATATGTATATCCTTTGCGACATTTCCATCCATCAATTCATCATTCATTGAATGACTATTTTCTTCAATTTTTAAATACTTTTTGATATGTGATGAACCGTGTGTCTCTGAATCACAATTCGGTTCTAATGCAATTTTGTTTCTTCGTGTTTACTTTAAAATATTCCAGCTTACCATCAAAACGGACCAAAACTGAAATATTTCTCTTGATGCTAGTTGCCCACGTCATTTTCTTCTATCGTCATCTTCTCTTCGCTTGAGTCATTGCTATTATCAGATGATGCACTTTGCGTGGAGTTTGTTATGTCCTAAATGAATAAAAATATTGAGAATTTATAATGCAGACCAGATTTTGAGAGTAATGCGTAAATAGAAAGAATATTCAAGGACGTCTGTGTTTACGTTTCATTAAGGTCAACAGATTAGAATGGGAGATAAAAAATGTAAACACGAACGGCCTTGAGGGAATTCTCTTAGTTGAAATGTAAATGAACTGCTCGATTTTAATGACTAGTTCTAGTCTTTGTATGAAATTGCATACTTCACAAATGCAAAAAATCAGCTCGGTAGAAAGAAATTGAGTTTTAGCCGAAATTTAAGATATATAGTAGAGATTTTGGATTAAATATTTCAATCCTTGGATTAAACTTAATATTCGTTTCCATACCTGCGAATAGTTTAGTTCCTTAATCGTATACAGCGTATTTGCAGCTTGAACTTGCGTAGTTCCATCATTAGCTTGATCATTTGCAATCCATACAAATTGTTCTTGATTTACGCAACTGGAATCTAATTGGATTACACTTGATTGTTCGGCAGTATTCTCATCCTTTAAGACATAAACTATTTCATCTTGTCCATCAGCAGCATCATCGGAATCAAGTTTTGATTTACCAGCTAACGTCTGTGATTGAATAATGACAAATTGCTGCTCATTAGACTCTTGTTGCTGTGATGAGTCCAGGATTATCTTCATGTCTTCAATTTTAAGCTGAAAATGTCAAATTTTGAAAGATGAAAAATAAAGTCCAGCAAGTTAATTTTAATAAAGGAACTCACATCTTTACGATTCTTTGTATGTGTCCTCAAGTGCTTAGATAGGTGGTCAGATCTCATGAATTTCTTTGAGCATTCTGTGCACTGGAATCTGAAATTTCATAAACTTCTTAGTGGAATTAAAATGTTAATTATGTAAAGTTGAAATCTACCTCTTTTCTCCAGTGTGCGTTCTCCTGTGCCTCTGCAATTCGTCAGATCTCGTAAACCTCTTGCCACAGAATACCCAATTACAGACAAAAGGGCGCTCGCCTAGTAAAGGAACAATATTTTAATTACTTCTCAATAAAAATCAAACGGCTTTTTAAGATTTAAAAATTTAGCGGTTTTCAAAAATTCAAAATATTACCGCCTTTTTTAAAGTTCAAAATTTAACGGTTTTACCTGTATGCCATCTTAAATGTGCCCTCAAATGCGACGTTTTTCCATAAACTTTATTACATCCAGGCACATGACAAATGTGCTGCTTCTTTCTATCTGTATTTCGATCAGGTTGTGTACAATTCGGACAAGTGCATGCTACACGACGAACTCTAGGTTTTACTTCGGGCGATGCCGATCCATCAGCACTGCTTACATTAATATTTACATTCACAGATGTTTGACTTACAGTTTGTTGTGTCGGTGCTGGCGTTACACTAATTGTCGTGGACATTTTTGTGGACGTAGTTTTAGTTTCACTTGCTGACGATGAAATTGTAACAGGTGCAGGCTGAATAGTAATTTGATTCGATGTAGAAGCAGCTACAATAGATTTAGTGACAGGCTGAATTGTACTGGATGATGGAATAGAAGAAATATGCGTAATTGTTGGCATAATTGATGTCGTTTGACTTTGTGTTGTCACCGTTGGTGTCTGACTTGTCGAAACGGAAGCAGATGATGCTTGAATCAATACAGGAGCCGATTCAGCTGATTTTACTATCCATTTTGTAGGTGTCGTCTCATTATCCTGCTTTATTGATTGTGGTGTAATTGTAATAGTTTGAGTCGTTGATGCTTGGGATGTAGGAGTAGATACAGTCGATGTTGCAGGCTGGATATTTTGAGGAATCTGATTTTGAATCATTGGAGATTGAGGGATTTGTTGAACTTGTAATGGCTGTCCCATAAAATTGGCGCCACTAAGAGCATTTGCGGATATTACTTGGACATTTCCTATTCCTGGAATATGCTGTATTTGTTGGGATGAGGGAAAATTAGGGATTTGAATAATATTTGCATTTTGATTGGGTCTTAAAGCTGATGCTGGTATTACAGTCATCGGTTGGCCTTGTGCATTCGTTATGGTTATTGGCTGTTGTTCCTGTCCTTCAACTTTTACTTGCTGAGGCTTGAAAAATAGGAATTTCACCCATTTTATAAATTTAATTATGTTTTATAAAATCTTTTAATTCTCACCTGCTGTGCTTGTAATTGTCCAAAGTTTGACTGTCCTGCTGCATTAGGCTGTTGAAGAAAAGGAAGATTGGCCAACTGAACTTGCTGGATTTGACCAGAAGGCGTTATAATATTAGCAACTTGCTGTGTAAATTGTGGAATAATCTGCATTTGAGGCTGTATTATTTGCGGCATTTGATTCCCGAAATTCTGGATTGGCACGTGAACTGTCTGATAAATCGTCTGTCCATTCGCATTAATTGGAACTTGAACGGGAATTGTTTGTGCTTGCATGGGAAATTGAAGGACCTGTGGCATCGTTGGACGAACTTGTACACTTTGTCCTTTAAAATTGGAAATAAGATAAACAAATTAAATTAACTTCTGAGTTTATATCTATATGTATTTCCTATAAAGTCATTCATTCAGGCATCAGGAAGTAATAAGGAAATGGAAATGAGATAGCATGTATGTACAATAAAAATTTCCATGCACCAAAAAAATAAGTTAATTTAATTAATTTGCAATATGTATAAAAAGTCCTTAAAACTTACCCGCAAAGTTAGCAGGTATTTGGATTGTATTATTTGTTCCTGGAATAGTAAATATAGTACCTTGTTGCTGCTGATTACTATTATTTTGATTTTGTTGCGTGTTCGATTGATTTTGCGACGAACTTGACGTGTTTTGTTGTGAACTTACGTTCGATTGCGACGTGTTTTGAGCGCTAGAATTGGAATTTTGAGCATTTTGCTGCTGCGTCGTCTGATTTTGATTCTGTGCTTGATTTTGTGCTGCTGATGGACCCAACGGAATCTGTATATTCGTTCCCGATATTGTTAATGTCGCTTGTCCACCATTATTAACTGATTATATTGTTTTTTTACAGTTTTTTTTTATGAATTATGATGTTTGTGCGTATTATTGTGCATATTTTGTTATTATGATGTGATTAATTTTATATATTTTTTTGAAATGATTCATTTTGTTAGTAAAAGAAGAGAAAAATGAGGAAAGAACAATGAAAAAACATTAATTAGCTAAGAAAAAACACCACCAATCAAGATGTTGCAGATTTGTGCAAAAATTATAACGGCTTTAATGTAAAATAACGGTTACACAAGTTTTGAATTGAGTTTGAAAACCCAACAAATGTTTTCAGTTCGATAAAACTGTTGTATGGTTTTAAAAATTCTAAAATTAACGAACGATGATCTAAACCATTCAAATGTTTAAAAATTATTCAAAACTTTTGTATGGTTCTCAACTTCAAATTCTCATTAATCGTTATTATTCATAATTAGCTTCAAAAGTATGTTAAATGCACAAATCCGCACATCTTGGACCATTATTTGATTATTATTAATGTCTTTTGATTTTGCGAATGGAATTAGTGTAGTGATAAGAAAAATGGGAGGCAAAAAGTCATTCAAAATAATCATTACTCGATACTTTACTCACCATTCGGTAACTGGACAGTTTGTGCCATATTATGAAGGAAGTTTCCGGGCGCAGACATTAGTGGACCACGTACAATTTGTCCTGACGGCGTTATAAAGGCTTGTTGCATTTGTTGATTTCCCATTTGATTCGGTATAAATAAAGCTTCTTGTCCATCGACTGTGACAGGCTGAACGATTTGAAACATTCCATTATGTCCAGAAATCAATTGTCCACCTTGTAGGACTTGCTGAAGAGTTTGTGCTTGTTGCTGTTGCATTTGTTGATTATCATTAGGCTTTAATTGAATGATTTGTTGTGTCACGGAACCGTCAGGTTGCTTTAATTGGATTATTTGTTGAGGCATTTGTTCGTTTTTGACTTGAATAAATTGCTGCGGGAGGTTTATGACTTGCTGTTGACCATTTGGAGACGTAAAAATTGTCTTAATTTGCTGAGCTTGTTGATTATTTTGTTGTGGTGAATTAGCGACAGCTTGAGCTTGTGCCTGGGCTTGTGCTTGAGCTTGTTGAAATGCATGAACTTGTTGCTGTAACTGTGCTGCATCGCTAGCATTCAATTGATGAATTTGTTGCGTTGTCGTCGCTTGTTGTGGGAGGAAATTTTGTAATTGTTGAAGTGTAATAACTTGTGGCTGTTGAACTGTATTCTGATTCTGTTGAGCCTGTGCTTGTGCCTGATTCTGCTGCACTACTGATTGAGGCTGGGAATTTGCCATAATCGCGGCATTTAATTCACTTCCCTAAAAATTTAATGTGTAAACATTATTATTGACTAAATTGGCACTAGACATCATTGAATCATAAGTCACAATCATGAACATAATCAAAAACCATAAGAAAACCACTGTTTTTTGTTAGTTTCGTGAATTATAAAATCATAAGAATTGTGTTTTTGGTGTTTTAGATGGAGTAAAACAAAATATATCCCATAATCCGTAATTTTGGATGGTGCAATAACTATATACATGGATGACAAGTAATAATTATGTACAAAAAAAAGGATATAATTAATCAAAAACCATAAAATGAGGTGTTAATACAACAAAAATTAAGTAAAACAAATTGGAAAAGAAGCTTTAGAGACTTTATGAATGATATTGATTAGGAACCTGATATCCAGCATTCTGTAATTGAGCCAGTACTTGAGCACTGACTATTCTGACTTCACTTTGTTGTTGATGATCCATTATTACTATTATTGTGTATTTCTAGTGGGATTCTGGATTATTATTAAGTAATTATTTATGCTTATTAACCGTATATGTTTCGTTGTAGCTCAAATTTTATATAATTAACTCTTTTCTTTTCTTATGGTTTTAGATTCATCTACTTTCGCTTTGTCACTCACTAAAAGAATGGTAAAAAAGGTATTTTCATGTTATTTATGCTGTATGCTGTATATAACAATAATATTTAGAGCTTAAATGTCCATTTCTGGATGTTGAAGAAACACAAAAAATTTTAATTGAATTCACTCAACAACTTTGATGTTATCCAATCAAGTCATGTTCATTAATCACAAATATTCATTAATACGATAATTCTATTGGCTAATCAATGAGAAAAACAACATAAACTCTGTTTACGCTCCGACATTTGTTGACAATTTGCTTTTAGTGGATTTTTTCACTCATTTCAATTAATTACCTCCTTCTTTATATTTACAGCTGTTTCTTTTTTCTTTCTACCCATTTCACAAATTTAACATTTACTTAATAACAGCATAAAATGCATTAAAAACAACTTTTTATTGAAATTGAAAAAATTGCAAACTTTATGCTTTTAGAATCGTATAACTTTTGATAGTATTGGTGAGATGCTAGTCTTATTTTATGCGTTTGAATTTTTCAAAACCGTTATTTTTATGGCAATTTTTTATATTTATTTTTTGGATTTGTATGGTTTTCAGTTGAATTTGTATGGTTTCTAGTTGAATTTGTATGGTTTTCAATGATACCCAACTCAATTTGACCAGTAAAAATTTATTTATTGATATATACTCATATTACAGCTATAATATACAATAATAAAATATGTGATGGATATTTATCTATTCAGCATGATCTTCAAGTAGTTCTGAAGTGTCCTCTTCTGCTTTAAATACTAGTATTTGCTTGTAGTGAACTATGCGAAGATGCCGCTCAAAGTTTGATCGCTTAAAGTTGACATACTTGCCTTCATGAGTAAGCTGTAGACGCAGTTTCTTAGTACACATTGGACACTTGACTTCCCAAATATTATTTTGAATTTTAACAATATCAATCTGTTCCAAATCAAATCGATTAAGGAGGTCTGTTGGAACTATGACTTCACAGCTTTGACGAACTAGATCCTTCCATTTTTCCATCAATCCTTCTTCTGTGTCTGGATAGTTTTTCTGTATTTTTGGTCTTCTACGACCCGGAGTTCCAACACGTCCATGTCCAATTTGCATTTGTAGGAACTCTTCTGTGTACATGTGCTTTGGTTTCTTTGAACTTTTCATGTCCATTGAGCGATTCATGAGACCAGGCGAATGTTGTTCATAGTCAGAGATCTCAAAACATTGCTCATAACTTCCAGCTTCTGTTTTAACAATCTGTTCTGCTGAATAAATACTATTATTATGGTCAATATCTTCTGGTGATATTTCTTGATATTCAACAATTTCTCCTTCATCATCAACATATTCTTGATCAATAAACTGACTTCCATCGTCTTCCTCAGTCTCATAAATGTATTGAATCTGTTCATTTGTTTCTGGCGATGCTACTTCCTGTAATTCACTTTTACTTCCAATACTATCATATTTTATACGTTTTCTTTGTGGCGATTCCAGCAAATGTTCCTCATCATTATTATCGTCTCGTGAGTATCCATGCTCTTCGCCTGGCTGCTTCTGTCTAACAATTAGTTCTGTTTGTTCTCGTTTAAAGTCTGGAATCTTTATAGTCGCGTATGTTGCATTATTAAAGTCATCAATTTGAGTTTTTTGGAGTTCATTGCACAAATTAATGATTAGATTCTTATGTCCAAGCTTCAATCGAAACTTTTCCATAATCTGATTATTAGCTCGAAGTTCTTCCTGGAATGACTGCTTTAAATGATCACCGTCATCTAAATCCGATAATGAAGTGATTGACTCTTCAAGTGCTTCAAAGAAATATTGCTTATCGTCCCACTGTATTCCTTTTAATGCCAAATATGTATCAAATCCATTGAATTCAAGGATCATTCTGATTAGTTTTGGAATTTCGCCGTATACTCTTTCGATTTTGTGCCAAAACACTGCAGTAGGATCCATTTTTTCCTGTAATATTCATCATTTTATCTTATTAGACACTACTCAAAATGTTTATGATGTATGCTGTATATTGAGCGTCCAAGATGCGAATATTTATAGGATGCAAACTTACCTTGTTCTTCCGAATCACTAAACTCATTATTTAAATAAATCCAGCAAAACAGTCAGTTCTGATTTATACAATCACTTAATTAGATTAATTAAAGACCTAGTATTTACTTAAATATAAGAGAAAATTCTTATAATCGTGAATTTGGAAAAAATAAACAATTTACAATGAACTTAGTTTGAATTTTAAAGATCCGTTAAGATTATATGTGAATCAAAAACATGTTTTAAGTAGGTACTTAATTAACTGTGTTTTTAGTAAAACTCGAGAAACTTATGCTCAAAACCCACTCAAACTTATGAGAATATTGATATAATTAATAATAATGTCAATTAAGAATGGAATTGTATGGTTTTTGAAAAGAATTTGTATAGTTTTTGAGTAAATTGTGAGGTTTTTATGAAGATTTTGAACGGTTTTAAAAAGATAGCATTAGAAAAGATCTCATTTGAACAGGAATTGGATCAAAACTTAAAAGTACCAGTAGTCAGGCAGACAAAGTTTCAAAAGACAGTTTTAGAGTAAATAGTGCTTAATAAAAGTTATAAAAAAATCATGGCAAAGAAAAAAGTTAAACTAAATGAAAACGACTGTAAGAACACATTAAGTTCGCAGAAAAAGCCAAAACAACCGAAAACTGTGCTAATTAATAACGTCACCGACTATTGGCCGGCATTAAATGAGCAAAAAGTGACGGAATTACATAAAATCTTAGAAAGGTACGAAAAAGATCCAGTAATTTCAATTAATCACTATTAAACTGCTTATTTTAGCTTTACAAGCCACAAATCAAACGAGAAGGAAATCTCAATCGGATTAGAATCAGCAATTAGGAATGTCAAGAACAAAACAGTCAGAGTTCTCTTTATAGCTGACGAAATATCGCCACAATGGTTTGGAAAGCATTTAATAGCTATGAGTTTAACAATAGATCCAGAAACGAAGATTCTAATTGTGCCAAAATTAAAGGAAATGACAAAAAAGCTATTAAATGTACCATCAATCATTTGGTGTATCAAAAAAGAAGTTCCTTCTATTAATGCATTTTATAGCAGTCTAAGTATACACGAGGAACTAAAGAAACACTATTACACAGTTCGACCTAACAAAGATGTGTCGATTACTAGAAAAAAGATAATCAAGGAAGTAAAGGAAGTTCCAATAGTTTATCTTAAAAAGTCATCAGATTCTGTTCCTGCATTTAGATCTACAGCAGATAAAATGGAATTTGAGGATTCTCTGGACTTTATTTCCTTAGCTAAATACGATGATCCAGCTTTAGTTAATAAGAAGTCACCATTCCCATCTTATAGACCACTGAAAGTCAAGAAAGTCATTGGAAATAAAGACAGAGAGTCCAAAAATTCATGATAATAAAAGAATTGTATTCCAAATAACTTTAAGCATGATAAGATTAATAAATTTTTAAGGAAGTTAATGTGCTGGATTTTCAATATAGACTGTCACGCTCTTACCGTTGACTTCTTTGTTCGTAAATTTGCTAAATGGATAGGTTTTGTTGAGAAGTTCAGAACTAATTTTGCTATTTTCACTTTTCTTTACGAATAAAGTTTTGCCAGATAAATCTTTAGTCACACTGTCTACTTCCTTATTATTTGTTGTCACGCTGTATTTGGTTCCATAAATTCCAAAAACTCCTTCAATTTCCTTCTTCAGTTGTTCCAATGTCATCAAATTTCCATTAAAATCAACAAGATTGAATGTCGCTGATCGTCTCGTGCTGTCCTCAACATATCGAACCTCAATGTCATCAGAAAGTGCGACATTAATCCAAGGCAATGTAGGCATTGATCGTTCACTAACTGAAGTGATTTTCAGTCTTAATTGGACATCCTTAATTTCTTGTGTTTCTTCAATTAAAACTTCACGTTTATCAGCTATTACATCATGCTGGACAAACTTTGACTTGATGACATTCTCAATGAAACTTTGATGACTTTTGGCGATTCTGTTAATATCACTATTACTTGCTACATCATATGTGATGATAACTTGATCTGTTGGAATCAATTTTGCCTTCTTTTTCAATTTTTGAACTCGATTGATAATTTCTCTCGCGATTCCTTCATCAACAAGCTCCTGATTTGGCTTCATATTGAGCAAAACGAGGACATCATTGTCACTATGTGCTTCATAGTCATTTCCAGCTTCACTCATTTCCCCACCAAATTGATAAATTATACGAACTTCATTAAGATCCAATTTATGTCCAGCAACTTCGAAATATCCACGTTTAAGCTGTTCCTGGATCTCATTATCTTGAAGTTCCTTCAACTTTTGAGCAACAACCTTTGCATCGCCTTTAAGACGAATTCCAAGCAATTTATGATCAGGTTCCGCGCGTATAGTTACACCGTACTTTTTCTTATCTTGACTCAATACAATTGTACGAACATTTAATTCACTTGTTATGAATTCTTGTAATGTATTAATGTCATCAAGATATTCTTGTGTCTGATGAATGATAACAACTTCCGTTAATGGATATTTTATTGGAACTGTACGTCGATCACGCATTACACGTCCAAGTTCGACTACAGCTTGCATTCTCGATACAGCACGTTCAATAGGGACATTAATTGCTGACATATTAGCCTGTGGCATCATATCATAGTGAACACTTCCATTTCCAGAATTATCATTCAAGATCCTTAATCTTTGATACATGTATTCAGTCAGGAATGGCGTAAATGGTGCCATCATTCTAACCATAGCAACAAGAACATCATATAGTGTATCCAATGCAAAATGACAATCTTTAAGTCCACCTTCTCCCTTCAAACGACGACGATTCATTCTTACATACCAATTTGTCAATTGATCAATGAATTTTGTTAATCTTGGAACGACTGTATACAATCTGTATGCCTTCATCTCACGAGAAACAAAATCAAGAAGTGATTCCTTAAAACTTGTAATCCAAACATCCATAACATTATCATTCTTATCGCCTTGATGACGTTTTAGGTCAAATTTATAGACAATTCCTTCTTCCTTCTCTAAACGATCAATATTTTGGAACAAGAAGCGATAAGCATTAAACCATGGAAGAAAGACATCCTTAATTATGTCACGAACACCTTCTTCCTTAAATTTCAAATTTTCAGCACGTACAACCGGAGAATTAATAAGATATAGACGAATAGCATCAGCTCCATACTTTGTGATCAAAAGCATTGGATCTGGATAGTTTTGCTTTCTTTTTGACATCTTTTGTCCATCAGCAGCGAGGACAAGACCATTAGCAATTAAATTCTTAAATGGTGGCTTATCAAAAAGAGCTGTAGAAATTACAAGAAGTGTGTAGAACCATCCACGAGTTTGATCAATTCCTTCCGCAATAAAATCAGCTGGGAAATTATTGATAAAATCTTGTGAATTCTCAAATGGATAATGTTGTTGAGCATAAGGCATAGAGCCTGATTCAAACCAGCAATCAAAGACTTCTGGAACACGTCTTAATGGAGGATTTCCAGGGATTTTTGATGGAATTTCAATTGGATCGACAGTTTCACGATGTAAATCTGTAATTTTAATGCCAGAAAGTTTCTCTAGTTCTTCAATAGATCCAATGCAGACGATTTCATCACCCGATGGTGACATCCAGAGAGGAATTGGAGTTCCCCAATAACGATTACGACTTATAGCCCTAAAATGAATGACAAGATTTTTAATGGATTTATAGAATTTGAATTTTTAACGTATTTGTAGGATTTGAATTTTTTAATGTGCGCGATTTAAATCAAAAATGACGGTTAAATAGCTTACCAATCTCTGGCTTCCTTCAGCCAATTTCCGAATCTCTTTTCCTTAACATTATCAGGAACCCAGTAAGTTTGTGCACAGCTAGCAAGTAAATTTTTGGTCATATGTTCAACACGAACAAACCATGAAGGAACAGCTTTATAAATTAAAGGAGTATCTGATCGCCAACAGAATGGATAACTATGAACATGAGTTCCAGATCTGACTAAACGACCTCTTTCTTTCAAAACTTTCATGATGTTTTTGTCAGCATCTTTCACATACTGTCCTTCAAAATCATGAACTTCCTTTGTGAATCTTCCATTTGCGTCTAATGGACATACAATTTCTTGATCACGTTTAATGACATGATGATCTACACAGACTCGATAATCGTCTTCTCCAAAGTACGGTGCTTGATGTACAATACCACTTCCAGAACCTTCAGTAACATAATTGTCACAAAGAACTCTAAATGCTACATCTTCATACTTCTTAAAATAATCAAATGGTGGATCATAACGAAGTCCTTTCAATTTAGATCCAGGGAATTTATCAAGAACGTCGACAGCATCAGCATTTTTGAATACAAAATCAAGTCTTGATTCCATAATAATATAAACATTTCCAGTTGCTTTTTCCTTTAATTTTATATAAATAAAATCAGGATTTACACAACAAGCCATATTTGATGGAAGTGTCCAAGGTGTTGTTGTCCATATAATTAATGCAGCTTTATCCTTATCATCAATAAGAGGCATAGATACAAACACCATTGGATCTTGAACATCTTTATAATTCTGACCAGATTCAAAGTTTGAAAGTGGCGTTGTACATGCTGTTGAGTAAGGCATGACTTTTACTCCTTGATAGACCATTCCTTTAACATAAAGTTGCTTGAAAACCCACCAAACTGATTCCATGAACCAAGGATAGAGCGTTTTGTAGTCATTACGGAAATCTGGAAATTTACAAATGATGTCATTATGTCAATTATTAATTAAATAAAACGGTTGCATCAGCAAATTAACTGCGCATTTATGCATGATGCAGACTGGAATGATATTTAAATCACAGGATTAAATTTAAATTCAGCAGATTTATTTTTAATCTGATGGATATATTCTTAATCCACTGGATTTAGCTTAATTACTCAAATTTTGAGATCCAGTAATAGCGCAAGATGTATCATCAATGATTCATACCTATCCAACGACCTAATCTGCCAACAATTTTCTCCCAATCTTCTGAATATCTCATGACAATTTTTCGACATTCATTGTTGTAAGCAGCAATTCCCATTTTTTGGACATCATCAGGTCCTTTAATTCCTAATGTCTTATCGATCTCGAATTCAACTGGCAATCCATGACAATCCCATCCGAATCGTCGTTCTACATGATAGCCTTGTTGATGAGCATATCTGGTGACAATATCTTTAATGGTTCCTGCCAAAATGTGACCATAATGAGGAAGTCCAGTAGCGAAGGGAGGTCCATCGTAAAAAGTATACCTATTTATGAAAAATAAGCACAATATTTCATCATAAAAGGTTATGAATTCTCGGTAATTTTAAGTATTTACCTTGGCTTTCCTTTCGACTGTTTTAAACAGTTTTCAAAGACTTTCTCATCATTCCAATATTTCAGGATATTCTCTTCCTCTTTAGAGAAATTTATATGCTCAGGAATACGTTCTAAGTCAGCTTTTGTTAAATTTAGTGACATGTCTAAATCTTACAGAACTTTTCAGTTCAGTTCCTTGATGCAAAATAAGCCACGCCGCTTAGAGAATCTAAAGGAATATGAAACAAACACAGTCATGTATGTTTATTTTGTGTTTCGTGAAGGGGTTGGGTATCTGTCTTTTGATAATTTATTTGATTTAATTAAATTTGGATGGAACTAGATTTTAACGGATTTTCAGGATTTGAATTTATTGAAATTTTTTGGAATTTTAATAAGTTTAGAATTTTGTTAAATTGTTGCTTATTCTGGCATCTAATTGATGTGATTTCAAATGATTAAGGAGCAAGGCACACTACTTTATCATTAAACTTACCTTATCTGTTCCTAATTGCAGTATTTCAGTGGTTTTAAATTAATTTTTGTATTTTTCACGTGTTTATTTATTTTAAAACCATACAACAGTTTTACAATTTCAAATCAAAACCATACAAGTAACATTGGAAAAATTTGTAGGGTTTCAGAGCAAATAAAGATCTTATATAGCTTCAAAAATCAGTTTCAAACCTTCCATTGAAGCAAATTAAGTCATGAAACGCTACGGAATGTGAACCAGAGACAAATGAGAGACGGACCATCAGTTTCACATTCAAGTAATCCACTAGAGTTGAAACGATGTTCCGAATTCGAAGAGAAAAAAAAAATTCACAAAAAAAACTTGAGCGATAAAAGTTACAAAATTAGTTTTAGACAGGAATAAGTGACAATTTAAGTACGTTTTATGTTTTATTTAATTGACAACATATTGTGGAATAGTGTATGATAGAAATATTAGGTAAGCATAATCAATTTAAGTGCTTAAAGTGTGTTAAAAGATTTGGTTTTTCGGCCTGCCTTCCATATTTGGCATTATTCATATATTAGGTGTTGTCTAAGAACATTCGTGAAATTCTTCATTACTTATGCTTTAATTATCACCATTTGCTATTCATTTCCTTGGAAATTTTTGTGATATCGTTCGATAAATGTTGGCATTTAAAGATCCAGTTGAGTAATTTCCGAGAAATTCCAATGTGAGTCATTCGAGCATTATCAGAGCATAAAACAAAGTTCACAAGTAGTTTTTCCAATACCTAAATGATAAATCGTTCCTTATAATATGCACATATATGATTCATTTTTATATTTTGTGGAATTTTTCAATTCGTGACCACTTCAGAAAAGTTTTATCTACATTTTCTATATTCCTTCCTCAAAAAATATATTTATGTGCCAGTAATAATAGTCTAAAATAGATGAATTTAGCTGTTTTATGTGGTGTACAGCACAATCTTCTTCATATTCATACATTTCGATTTTTTTACGCGGATTTTTTCCATTATGGGCTGAGTTAATGACTTCAATTTGTCTGAGAAAGTGTCTAGACTCGGCCTGTAAGGTGTGGGCTATATTGCACATGCTATTGTTGTTTGTTTATCTTCTATTTATAGCTTATTTAAGTATTCCTAGTTTTTATTTGAAAACCCTACAATTCCATTTTTAATTCATTCAAAACCTTACAAATGTTTTCAAATCAGAAAAAGCCGTTAAAAATGTCAATCAAGAAAATGCGTCCCGAATTCAACGCACAACAACTTGTTCTTCACATCTTCTTTTGTCTCTCACTCTCTCTCAGTTATTCTTCTTTTTGTTTAGTGGCTGAATACATGTATTAATGTAAAATAAAAAAAAAATCTAAATTTTTCTCTCTTCTTGTTGCCTTTTTCAGGATCCCTATAGTGCAAGCCGCCACATACATACATTTTTCATTCTCGCAGTGCCACATTTTTTGACGACAAACAACAAGAAATAAAATTTTATTACAACAACTCTCATTGACAACCTATACTCTAATTAATAAGCATATAAATCAATCAAAAACTAATAAAATGGAAGCAATTGCAAAGCATGACTTTAATGCGACCGCTGAGGATGAGTTGAGTTTCCGTAAACAGCAAGTATTGAAGATCCTTAATATGGAGGACGACATGAATTGGTATCGAGCCGAACTAGACGGAAAAGAAGGCTTAATTCCAAGTAATTATATAGAAATGAAAAATCATGATTGGTATTATGGTCGAATCACGAGAGGTATGTAGCACTTCCGTCAACAATTCATTTTCACATTTCTGAATTCTATTTTTAAACTCTAAAAATCTCATTATTTTCATGCTGTTTTGTAGCTGATGCCGAGAAACTTCTGTCCAATAAACATGATGGTGCATTTTTGATTCGAATCAGCGAATCAAGTCCCGGAGACTTTTCTCTATCAGTAAAATGCTCGGATGGCGTTCAGCATTTCAAAGTGTTGCGCGATAATCAAGGAAAATTCTTTTTATGGGTCGTTAAGTTTAATTCTCTTAATGAATTAGTTGAATATCATCGTACGGCATCAGTGTCACGTTCACAGGATGTTAAATTGCGCGATATGGTCCCCGAGGAGATATTGGTGCAAGCTTTATACGACTTTACAGCACAAGAGAGCGGTGAACTTGATTTTAGACGAGGCGACGTAATAACAGTGACAAATCGATCTGAAGAGCACTGGTGGACAGGCGAAATTGGTTCACGTAAAGGACTCTTTCCTGCGATTTACGTCACACCATACCGTTCTAACACATAAGATCCATGATGCATTTATTTCCATTCGACCCTTGATTATTTCTTTGCCCTTGATATTAATACTGTATTTCTATGACATAATTGACATGATAACACCAATAATCACCAGCATCATCTGAAACAAAACTGAAAGCTACGACGACGACGACAACAACAACAAATTGTTAATTAATTATTGTTTTTTGCATTAGTGAAGTGAATTAGAAACGCGCGTGTGAGAGAGAAACAATAACTTACATTTTATATATTATAAACTGAAAAAAAAGCAACAATGAATAATACCGATAATACCAAACAATGCAATTTCCTCTGAAAACTATTTAAAATAGAGATATCGCGTATTTCATCATTTTTAATCACGGCTCAAAAGTTTTTTATGTACTCTACGAGTGGTAATGAGTCGAATAACAGCCCGTGACCTTGAAATGGAATAAGATAAAACAAACATTGGGTCGTGTATTGCTCCCCACAAATTTTTCAATTCAGTGTTCTGTATTTTAAATACATGCAAAACATATGCGCGTGATGGAAAATGATGGATTATCTGTGTGTATTTTTATTATTTCTTTTTCGGTAAAAAGAGACGAAGAAAAAAAAAATGACGTGAAAACGCAGAAATAACAGAAACGTTTATGAGATAAAGATAAAGAGTGTTGACAAGTTGGACGGAGATTGAAGTAGAGGCGCATTTTCGATGAGGCTGAAATGAGCAAGAATGAATCTTCAAAGTTTGAGTGATAACGGCTTTCTGAAGTTTGAATTTTGGCTGTTTTTTTGGAAAATGCTGAAATTTTAACTGTTGTGAGGTTTTGAGTTTTCGAAATTTTACGGTTATGAAAATTTTAAATTTAAACGGATTTTGTAGAGTTCAAAAATGAACTCAAATGAAACCAACTGAAGTGAACTACTGAACGACCAACAAGAACCAAAAGAACTTTTTAAAAAAAAATTAACGGATTTTTGAAAATACTGGAAATATTTTTTGAAAATTGACGAATTTAGGTTTTGTTTCAACGATTTAAATCCAGTTCTTCCTGCTTAAAGTTAAACGTAAATGTTTTGTTGGTTATAAATTCTGTAAATTAAAGTGGATTGTGTTGAAATACTAACTTAAGCTTCAAATTAGAAATCAAAGTCGATAGTGACAGCCACAAATCATTCAGAATAAAGATCCAGCCATTCTTAAAGTGGCCACAAACTCAACACAGCTCATTCGAAAGTGCGGCTTAGAAAATATCTTACGAATCCTAAATAATCTGGTATTAATTCAGTGCAATTCTTCCAAACATATAATATATATATATATAGAGACTTTATGAAGCATCATAAAAAGATAGAAACAGGAAATTTTTTTCGGGCATTAATCTTTTATAACTTATTGGGGTCAATGATCATCATTAATGAATATATTTCTTCCCTCCTTAACGACTCGATTGATATAAGATAATTTTTGATTTTTTTCTAAAGAAAAATGAAATGGAGCCATATATATTATTATATGATATAAAACAACACTTTTTTGTGTAATTTTTTATATTCTTTTAAAATGTATTTATTTTTAAAGAAGGTGTGCGAACACAGAGACACATGTGGACTTATTTTCTCATTTCTTGGAGGATTTTGTTATTTTTATGTCAGCCAGATGCTCGACTAATTTCCTTCAAATCTACAAGATAATCGCAACAATTTCTCTTTTCTTAAAAAAATTAAATTGATGGAAAATTTTCAGTAGTTGAGATCGATTATGTTCAATGCCAAGGGCTAATTCAGTGATTATTTATCATTAAAATTTATGAATTTGAGATATTTTGACGTAAATGTCAAGGATGTTTAAGAGAAAATTTCGCCCTCAGACTTCCATTAAAATGAAAATACACTTGAGCTTGTGAAAACTCATTTAAATTTGAATTGATTTACATGATTTATTCTAACACAGGCAGTTTATGTGCTTGTGGGAATGTTAATACAGCACATAAGCTATTGTTTGTTGTTTGAATGGATTTTCAATGATTTTTGATGGATGGAAATAAATTGAATTTTTAACGGTTTTTGAAATTTGAATTTTAACGGCTATTTAAAATTTGAATTGTAGCTGTTGTATGGTTTTGAAGAAAAATTTGTACGGTTTTATAAAACATTTGTAGAGTTTTTAAATTCAAATTTCTGAAAACCGTTAAAATTTTAATGAAATTGAATTCTTAAGACGAGTTTTTAAAGAAATTTGCTCAATATCTTCTAGCAGGCTCACAGCAAAAAAATCCATCATAGCTGTGCACATTAAATATAATCTCACAAGAGGAATTTCCATCCAAACTGAATAATTGATCAAAAGGAATTTTTAAAATTGACTGAACATTTTCCAGCAATTTTCTTTCTATTTTTACACACACAACAATTAATTAAGCATGATATTTTCTTTGTGAAGCTTTTCTATGCAGTAAAATGGCACATAATAATTCCTAACGTATGTTTTAACTTTTCTATAAATTAATTTCCATTGAAAGAATGAAAAATCAGCATCTCTGTGGCCAATTCTCCACTCTAATAAATTTATCATCGCATTCATACTTATCTACACACAAACAAACACAAAAAATATTATTATTATTGCTAAAATGATCAAATCTTAATCGTAAATGAAACAAAAATAAGTATATTGGTAACTCAAAATTAACAAGTGTATCGGGTAGAAACTCAATGCGGATATATTCACACCGTACCAACAAGAGTTTTGTGGATAGACCAAGCTTGACGAGTCAGCTGAGCTTCACTCAGCATAAAGGTTTCTTCCTCCTTTGCCCAAAAACTATACAGCTCTTCTATAAAGCAGCACAGATCAAATGCAAAAAAACTTGATGTCTCTACTAGGTCTCGTTATTTAGATTTCTTTCTGATTAACTTGCTTGCTTACAGAAAGCGCATTTTGCAATTTTCTCAGCAATGCCAATTTGAAATCTGTTATTTGCAGAAGATGTAAAGTTTTAACACAAACTTTTCTTTTTTGGACATGTTAAGCTATCTTGATCCATTTCCTTCGAAAAACTGATTTTTCAATCTGAACAAAAACAATACATTCACACGTGAATACGGTGTGAATATAAAAATAACCTTTAGATCATTCTCAAGTGGGTGGATTATGATGTGGTCAGTGCTTTTAATTTTAGAAGAACATCTGGAATGAGTTTAAGATTGTGAGAATTTTGAATTTAACTGACACGTGTAAGCAATTTAGAAAAAAATACTTCAAAATTCCACAAATCAGAGTCAGTCAAAAAACAAACATCATGCATCCATCCACTAAATCTATTCTTTTCCACTTTCTTTCTCGAGAAAATTAGAAATTTGAGAGAAATTTTATAATTTGTAGCAACTTTGATCAATAGATTGATAATCCATAATATGAATACCTAATTAATGATTTTTAAAAAAACGATGAGAAGAAAGTAAAATAATGTTTGATACATTAAGAATATTATTATAAAAATGATGAAATGGAACATTAATTGCAGTTCATTTTGTTTTTTGAATGAGCTTTTTAAATAGACCTTCCAATAGAGGTGAATCAATGATGATGGAAGTGTCTATTTGAAGTAGTTTCGTTCCGTTCATATTTTTATTGAGAAAAATACATTTTTAGGCATTATAAGTAATAAATAAAAGTGAAAAATGAAAGAAAAAAAAAACATGAAAGTAAGCTCATGAAGAATAAAGAAACATTTTATGGAAATATTAAGACATGCTTATTATTAATAAGAGTCCAAAAGTCTGTCGACAAACTTTTTCAGCTTTTCTCCAGGATATACATTTTGACGAGCTGACTGGATGTTTTAGGGCACTCATTGTACAACTTCAATTCAAAGTATACAGCACTTCGATTACCATATCCATGAGATGTTACTTCCTTTGTTTTAGCAAATGTGATGGACTTGTTGTAGTTAATAAAAGCATTAAAGTGATTTTGGGATGTAAAATCAGTATTTCCTGCATTTCGATATTTTCGAGCTTCTTCGTCTGATTTTGTTATGTTCGATTTTGAATTTTAAAAAGTACACAAACATGTCTTTTAGAAAAAATTATAAAGGTCTTTATTTCGTTATATTCAAATTCATTATTACAGAAATTCATATTATTCTTCAGCTGCTGTCTTGCTCATATCCCTCAACTTTCATGTCATTCAATCCTAATTCCTCGTTTTGCTCAAATGAACGGTGATAACGAATAATTCTCAAATTTGGATCAGATTTTCCGTCATCAGAAAGCGCTTGGACATAGCTGTTTCCTGTTGGATCATCCAAAATCATTGTTATTTCTCTTTTTCCATCCAATATCTTATCGAATTCCACAAAGAATCTGTTAAAGGTAAAGAATAAATAAGATTAAGTAAATTATAAAGCATGTCCTTCAGTCGACTTACTGATGTAATCGATCTGTGCTGTCCTTTTCAGAAGAATCATCGAAAATTGCACTATTTTCAGACAATTGATCGCGCATAGCAGTTAAAATTCCTTCAACAGTTGTAAATCTACCACCTAAAGCAGACGGTCCAACATCAACGTCTAATTCTCGAATAGCCAAGTGACATGTCTCGGATTTAAGAACATCTCTTGAGAAATCGTCTCGTGACGTGATTTTAACTTCAATTTTCACACCCTGATCCTCAATTCCACCACCAGACTTGACTTCATTCGTTCTATTTCCACAACGATCGCAGACTGTAGCCATAATGACAACATCCTTAAAATGTGGGATAGTTGTAAGCTTCATATTTGTGTCACATGGTGCTGAACATTCAGGACAATTTGTTGGAAATCGTAGTACTTCACCGTGAAGTTCCTCTAATGGCCATGCATCTTCTGGAATTGGCTTTAATTTCTCGTTATTTTCATCTTGATCAGCCTTATTTTTAACTTCTGTTTCATCATCAATTTCTGCGCGACTAAATATTCCAAGCATATGATCCTGTTCCTTATTACGATTGTAGTGTGAGACATGCATATTTGGATCGGAATGTGGTGCACAAAGATTTTCAATATAAGCATCGCCAGAAATGTCATCAAGAACTATCGTAAATGGCTTTTTAACTTCCTTTAATTCCTCCAATTTTTGCATGAATTGACTTATCTGTTCAGCAGCTTCTGGATGTTCCAGTTTCCTTTTTTCTTGATCCTGTGATAATCCATTAACTACACGGTCTATAATTCCTTCAATTGTCGTTATTTCACCTTTTTGTGATTTTGGTGGAATCTCGAAATCCAGCTCCTCAATTCTCAATGCACTATAATCCGTTTTACATACTCGACGATTTAAATCCTTAACATCATCAATCGTGAGCTTAATTTTAATACCTTTTTCCTTAATTTCAGATCCAGATTGAATTTCATTATTTTGATAGCCACAATCATTACATGTGAATGACATTATTACTACCTCCTTGTAGAATGGAATCTTAGTCAGCAGTAGTCTCGTCACTCCCTAAATTACTTAAATTAATTAATATTCCTATGAATTATCATGTTTTACTCACAGTTTTGTAGCAATTCATACATATTGACTCTATTTCCGTTGTCCCCAAGTCTGGATCATCAGCTGACAAGTTTAAGTATATTGGATCAGCAGATTTAGGAGCTTCCATGTCTAATTCCTTTTAATTCTTTTAATTACAATTTTTTGTTTTAATTTTGTTGATTTTAGGTTATGTTCACTGTTATGATTTTTTCAAATATATTTTAACCGTTATTACTGATTATTATTTATTATTATTATTATTATTAATTGTTTATTCATAGGAAAAGCCACCTGAAAAGTATTTAAACATTTACATTATACGAGTTTGAAACTAATCGTGTCCCAATTTCGAAAATTCTAACTTCACAGACGTAAACATTGGAAAATATTTTATAAAAAATAAAAAAAATTGTGTTTTATAGGCTTCAACTGCAAATTAAAGTAATAATTCCATAATGGAAGAGCCAGGCACACAGCGACTGACTAATGAGGACTTCAGAAAACTGATTTCTACTGGCGTAAAATGTAAAAATATAAAAATGTTTAAAAAGTATTCAAAATCATTAATTAAACTATTTTCTACCATTTAGCGTCATCCACAGCATCGGCAACGCCAAGTGCTCCATCTAAAACACCAAAAAGTGCTGAAAAACATGAAGCCCGTAAGAAGAAAAAGAGTTTTTATGCACAACTGAAGAAAAGTGATGAATCTGCAAATATTCTCAATCAATTAAGCGAAAAGTACCGTGATCGAGCCAAGGAACGTCGTGAAGGAGGAACTACTGATCAAAACTTTGATCCAAGAAGTTCTACAAGTGGTTACAGAGCAGTGGCACCTGATAATTTGATGGATGCAAATGAACGACGAAGAAAAATGATCCAGGAATCTAAATTTTTGGGTGGTGACTTGCTACATACTCATTTAGTTAAAGGTCTCGATTATGCGCTATTAAATAAAGTACGAATGGAAATAACTCACCATGAAAAGATCCAAGAAGCTGAAATGGAAAAAATTGTCGAAGAACAGGAAGTAGAGAAGCAAATAGCAGAAGCTGAAAAGAACGAAACTGATGAAATGAATCAAATTAATACAGTCATGGGTAAAAATATTCAAAGATTAATTACAATGCAGAAATCGAAGACAATTGAACGAAATGAAACATTCATTCCTGGACGAATGGCTTATATGATTGACTTAGAAGATGATAATCAAGATACAGACATCCCAACAACAATCATAAGATCAAAATCTGAATATACAGCAGCAACAGAAATGAATGCAGCTAGTCCAACGAATGATATTGTCGTTAATAAACTTATTGAAATCTTTACGTACCTTCGAGGTGGCAAAAAGAAGAATAAGAAACGTGATAAAGAAATATTTAAGCTACCAGAAGAGGAACCAGTAGTCAAGCCAAGCACTTCAAAGGCAGTTCCATCGACATCGTCAAAATCTAAACATCCACCAAAGGAAGAAGATTCAATTTATGGCAATATTGGTGACTATAAAGCATCAAGTTATAAAGAAAGAAGAAGACATGATGAAAAGGACGATTATCATAAATCATCTTCAAGCTCTAGTTCAAAGAGTAAAAGCAAGCGATCATATTTTGATAAACCAAACGAAGAGGAACCGACAATGATTCCTCCAGCACCCCCAAAATTACCATCTCAATTTATTTCTAAACTTAATGCGCCTGAAATTGATGGATATGCTGAATGTTATCCAGGTTTAGAAGAAATGGATGATGCTGTAATTGACTCAGACGATGATGTAGATTACACAAAAATGGACAAGGGGAATAAGAAAGGTCCAATTGGAAGATGGGATTTTGAGACACAAGAAGAATATTCAGAATATATGAGCACTAAAGAAGCACTGCCAAAAGCAGCTTTCCAGTATGGTTTAAAGATGTCAGAAGGACGAAAAACGAGAAAAAATAAGAATGAGAACCAAAAGCTTGATCAGGAATGGCAAAAAATACAGAAAATCATCACGAAAAGAAAGGGCGACGATTCTGGAGAAATTGATTTTAAGAAATCAAAACATTAAAGTTTGCTTGTATTATTTAAGGCTTTTAATAAAGAACATTGTGTCCTATGAACTAGTTATATGGTCAAAAATTCAAATAATTATAACGTTTTTTGAATATTTGAAAAGTATGACAGTTTTGTGTTCGCGCCAATTTTAAGTTGAAGATCGATGTCTGCTTAAAATAGTGTTTTAATTAGTCAAATAATCATTTTACGTATAGATTTATCTGTTTTAACAGTCAATAATGTCAGATTGTTTGGAACTTCAAGGATTTTCGACGGATGGAGGTAAAATAGCCATAAAATATTGAAAATATTAATTTTTCAAAAAATAAAAACATTAAAAATCTCTTAGATGAAGCTTTTAAGAGCTGTGAGAACCTGCTTTTAAGGGACTCTTTGTTGAAAGAAGAGGAAACTGCCGATTTGACTGATTACAATGTCTTAGTAGAGAATTGTCAAGATATATCGACATGTCATGACCTGAATTGTTTAGATCATAGCTTACACGAGCTTGTTGATTCATTGTCCAATTCTAATTCACCAAATCAGAAGCCCGACTTCCTAGACATGTCACTAGATGACATTCCATTAACTGAAACTGATCCGAATGACTTGTTTAGAATCATACCTGAAAATCTTCCAGATGACAAGCTTTTGTTGCTTAAAATTCCAGACAATTTGCAGGATTCAAACTTATTAAATGACATTTTAGACATTGAGCTTGATCAGTCAATTTTGGATGAAATTGAAAAAGCTGTTAAGGACAGTGAAGGAGCTTTTCTTAACGAACCTGAAGAAAATGCTTACATAGTAGAAGAAGTCGTTGAAATTGTCCGCAGACCGCCTTTACAGCTCATCCAGCAAGTTATTAAATTTCCTGTCGTTAAAAATGCTCGAGTTGATAAGAAAGCTGAAGATTTAATGGCATCTAATAAGCGTAAACAAGCTTTTATATTTCCACGAGAGGATCGTGTCGAGTTCTATAGGTACGGCAAGTTGAAAATCATTGTTTTAATAGGCACTCATTTACGGCTAGTATTTAACTGATCTATTTTCTCAAACTAATCATCTAAACATATTCTAGTGACGAAGAAAATAACGAAAATTCACAAAAACAACCAATAACTGTAAATGATGACGCTCCATCACCGAAGAAAGCAAAATTGGAAGAAACAATTATCGAGACGCCAACAATTGACGAAATTAGACCAAAAAATATTCCAAGTGAGTCACCACAAATTGAAAAGAAAAAGCCACGATTTGTCATCGAAAAGTGCCCGAGATGTGATAAAAGCTTTAAGAAGCTTTCGATGCACAAATGTCGAGATGCAGTTGATGACAAAGGACCGATCAAGAAGTTAAAACCATCAGATGTTCCATTGCCATTGAAATGTGAAGCATGCAAGTCATTCTTTCCTAATCAGGAGGCAGTCGAGAAGCATCAAGCAGACAAACATTCTCGTCTATTTTGCAAGATCTGTAAAAAGGTTATGAAGAATGTACAAGGCTTGAAACTTCACTCGGTTAAATGTGGCGTCGATATTCAGCCAGTCAAGACTTTTATCCCGAGATACGCCAGAAATAAGAAGTAAACTTATATTTATTTTTAGATTTTATTGAAAACTTTGTTATCGTACATAAGAAAACTGCGGAGGGATAAATTTATGAGATTTATGTTAACAAAATTAAGTAAAACTAAGCTTCTAAGAATAACTCATTCATACTGTACAATTGTTCCTTACATTCTCGGTCTACTCAATAAAAAAAAAATATAAAAAATGAGAAGTTAAGCAGAATAACTGTCTTACTGATAAAATGTGTAAAGTGACGTAAATTTGTCATTCCTTATGAGATTCTAGACATGTTCAGGATTGAGAATATGAATATATAAACTGATCGTCTATGTTACTACCTTAGAAATACAATTTATTGTGTGTTAATCCTGATCTTAAACGATTAAGTTTTTATGGGATCGAAATTGATTGAATTCTAGGATAATTTGAGGCTTAAAGTATGATAATTGTAATGAATAGCTGGATTTGTGCGATGAAAACCATACAAATGTTTTTGAAAAATTGAATCCCATACAAATGTTTTGTAATTTGATTCAGAACTATATAACAGCTGAAATTGAGTGAAACCTTACAAATCCTTTTAGAACTAGAATAGAACTGTACAACAGCCCAAAATTTGACACGTGGCTCAAATCCTTCCCATTCAAACAATTTTAATCCCTTGAATAATATTAGGCAATTATTGAGGTCTTAAAAGGCCAAATCTGATTGAATTGTTAACATTTCGCGAACCTCAATAAAGCAGTGCTGTCTAAACGTCACCTAACTTTACGTATTGAGCAATTTTTGTACACGAATTAGAATTTCTATTAAATTTCCCTAAATTTTCATCCAAATCTATCACGTTTAAAGAATTTTAATGTCTGGACAACACTGAATTATGGTCAAAATTCACACAAACTATTCACATTTACTCATTGTCCTCTTCCTCTTTGGCACTCATGAATAACTTTTGCATTTTTATCGTAAAATTATCGATTTTATCTTGAAAACTCTTTGGCTTATTTTTCCATGCAACTCCAGCGATATAAAATGGAATTCCCATGAGTGTTATAAGACATCCCATGCCTGCTTCCGCTGGCACTTGATAAATGGGAACGAGAATTAAAAATATACAAATAATCACAAATGTGATTGGAACTAAAATATTCACTTTTATTGGACGTGGCATGTCAGGTCGTGTCCATCGGAAATAAAGGACACCAGTAACACTAAGCATTATGAAGAATGTCTCAACAACACTCGAGTATGTAATGAGGACATAGACATCACTAATGAATAAGTACAGCAGGCTTAATAAGCACAGAAATACGAGTGAAGGTGTCGGTGTGAATCGCTTAACATTAATAAAACTTAGTAATTCAGGCATATGCTTATTACGAGCAGCTACAAAACACATTCTCGAACTTGTCATGATATGTACGGAAAGTCCACCAAAAGCTGATATTGCGACCATAATTGGAATTATCCATGAGCCATATTGAAGGACTTTATCACCAAATGTTACAGCTATTGCATTACTTGCAATCATTTCTTGTGGCGTAAGTACAGCTAGATATGCTACATTAGCAAGCACATAAATCACAGTGACTAATGGTAAACTAATATAAATTGCTCGAGGTAGATTCTTGTAAGGATCACGAAGTTCCTCAGTCATAAAATTAAGATAGTTCCATCCAGCATATGAAAATATACCAGAGTAAAAAGCAACAGCTAGCTTTCCTGGATCAGTTTCTGAATTCTCAAATGCATTGTCAAAATTCTCCGTATGTCCAAATGACATGTAAGTGATGCCAACAATAATGATTGTCACAAGTGCTGCAATTTTCGTAAACATAATTATATTTTGCATCTTCGTCGTTGCCTTAACATTGTAGGAATTAAGGAATGTCAAACCGATTATTGTAGCTGCTGCCAATAATTGTGACGCTAGTTCAGGCACTTTACATTCACCGGGATAGAATGGTTGTAGTACGTAATTTGCGAATGTAAGGGACATAATTGCGTTTGTGGCGGGTACAAAAATCACTGTCGCATCCCATATGTAAAGGAAACTTGGCAAGTCACCAAAAGCCTCATTTATGTACATGTAATCGCCACCACTTTTCGGAATACAGCAACCTTGATTGGGGAATCAATTAAAATAAATTAATATAAACTCTTTTATCATTGAAATGTATTACGGATCATTCACACATGTCTTGCTTGCTGGCTTTATGAATCAAAAAACCGTTAAAATTTGAAATTTAATATTTTTTGGAAGTTTCAAATTTCTTGAAACCGTTGAAATTGGAATATTTGAAAGCCGTTAAATTGCAAACTCATTTATTTTTAATAAAGGAGCTCTGAGTATCCATCACTTGTGAATGATCCCTAACTTTACTCACCCAATTCAGCATAACAGAGTGCTCCGATCATTGACAGTATACCACATAATGTCCAAATCACTAAAGATGTACCAGGCGCGTTAACTTCCTGAATGACTCCCTGTGTTTGAAGGATGAAAATGCATTTTTTATTTATAAATCGTGTCATGTGAGAAACAAAGAAGCACAATATACCTTTGGTGAGATGAAAATGCCTGATCCAAAAATAATTCCTAGAATGATCGCACATCCTTCCAGAAGACCCAGTTCCTTTTTCATCTTATTACGCGCTTTCGGCTCATCATCATTTTCTAAAGCAGGAATGCCTTTAACACTATCATTTGGCGACATAAGCTCCATAACTGTTTCGGTTGGACTGTTTAATTCTAGAATGCCAGGCATCACTTATAACTGTGTGGAAGGGAACCGAGTTAACAATTAATCAATTGGTTGTAAATTAGATAAGTAAAGATGTCAATTAAAATCAAAAAAGCGTGAAATTCTGCTTCTGTAAAAATATTGATGTTGCCTACTTTCAAATTATTGTTCTTGACACGAATTTGATTTATTTGACAATTCTATTAAGATATCTTCTGTTATCTCTGCTTTGTTAAATTATTTCCATTTAAGACCCAAGAGATACTTCCTAAACAATTTCACACTTATGAATGATGAAATTTTCACATGGACTTAAATCAACACACACTTTTCTTTTCTTGGGAAAAAGGGGGATCGTTATGCAAAGAACAATGTTTTGATATCTATGTCAAGTTTCTGACGTTGTACATTGATATCTAAAAGTTTCTGAAGCGTTGTCTAACGGATTATTCATTTGCAGTCACGTGGACCATGGTTTAATTCTAACGTACTTTTTTATTTTGAATTTATTTTACAAACTTTCTTAATTTTTGGATATTTTTTAGACGTTAAAATTTGAAAACCGAAACTTTGAAAATATGCTCTCAAAATGCTATCTAGAGCTCTTTAGACTTTACTGCAGCTAATATAACATCAATATTATTTAATGCTGTTTTCTTAAATCAAAAGACGTTAAATGAAACTGATGAATTTGAAGTTTCCTTAATATCAGTCAGTCAGACAAAAGAACAATAAACACTCGTAGTCTAGAAAACATCTTAACAAAAATCAACGGAAAATTCAAATTCAAAATCCTCGCTAAAGGAGAAAACAACTTTTCAAATTTGAAAAAAAAAAACTGAAACTTTCAATATTAAAAACATTAATTATAGTAGGATTTAAGCCTTTTCTAGTGATTTTATGGATATGTTTTACAAGCTAGTTCATTAAGTGATAGTAATAATAAGTTTTTGAGCAACGTTTGTCAGTAAAAACAAATTATTTTGAAGAAATAAGAAAAGCGGTAAAAAAGAAAAATTAAAGAGCAGAAAAAGATTAATTAAGAAGCAATCTTGGATAGTATAATGCTTAATTACAACTTAAACTTCGTAGTAGCATCAACAGTCTTCGCAAGTCTCGCTTTATTTGGATTATTCAAGGTTTTATTTCTTTTAAGGTTAGTTAAGTTAATTATGGATTTCATAAAGTTACTGGATGTAAGAAAACTTAATAATCAAGATATTTAATGTGATTTACACGAGTTTATCATGATTCTTAGAGTATCTGGATGTTAGTTCCGCTGGATCTTTTACAAAACTTCTTTTTATTTGTCTTTCAGGAAAAAGTTTCCAGTCAAAGTTAATTGTTGGTTCTGTAACATAAATTTGAGAGTGCCTTATGAAAGCTGGAACAGCTTTACATGCCCAAAATGTCAACAATATAATGGATTTACGGATGATGGAAATTATAATAAGGAAATAACTGAGCAGCATTACTCAAAACTCAATACTAATGCTTACTGCCAAAAATCTAACGGAGATAGACTGTCTTACAGCAATGGATTCTGCGAATTTTGTACTCGAAATCAGGAACTGAAGATTCATCAACTAGCCAACTTTAGACCTAGATGTGAGGACAACTATGACGAAGAAATTGAGGAATTTCGGTAAGAATTGAAGACTTTACCTTTTATATCCAACTAGTAGAGATTATTACACCCATAAAATCTTCTTTTATAGACAAAAACTGGAGGATTCGTATCAATTATGCAACCATTGTCAAGGACACTTGAACAAGACTTTAAACAAGATCAAGACGAAGTTTATCGGTTCCAAATTGTCTCAATTAGGCTCAAAATTGAACAAGAATTTACATCAAACAGCCAAGATTATCGTCGATGATGGAAAAGTCATTTCTTATTTCATCACATCAATAATTTTACTTTTAAGCATTGCCAATTTCATAAGAGATATGAAAGTCAAACTGCCAGCATTTACAAATGACGAAAAGATTTTGGATATTTTTAATCACTTTCGAGTCTTCGTTTACACAATTATAGATATGATGACAAATTGGATGAAAGAACTGAAACTTAATGAATTTTTCGATGATATTGATAGAATCGCTATAAGTGCTCTGATTTTAAACTCAATTTTAATTTTTAATAATCTTAAGAATATTAGGATTCCTGTGATTATATCAATGGCTTTATGGGCAACAAAAATGATGCTTAAGGAGGTTCCATTTGATGTCCAGCATGAATCGGCTATTAAAGGAACAATGTCGATAATTTTGATAGTTTCATCGATCTTACTGTTTAAGGAGAAAAAGAAGGAGGAACTGGATGTTACAAATAATGGCAGTTTCCATAAAATTCCAACAGAAATGCTTGAAGAATCAGATACAGAAATTGATTTATCTGAAACTAGTTCCTTTTTCGACCATAGAAGTAACAAAACTGTATTTTCGAAGTCCTCAAGAATGTCGTCGAGCTTTCGTACAAGCTATGCGGAACCAATCAAGACACTCAACAGTACAATTAAGCATGACATTTCAAAGCCAATTGACATATTGAGTAACAAGAGTTTTAGCATAACAAAGGAAGTTTTGACTGCTGATCGTCATCAAGTTCAAAATGATATAACTAGATTGAAATTGTCAGATAAGAATGAAGATATTTTCTCTACCACATCAACAATTAAAGATTTTAATAATAGTCAATACTCAAATCCTTTTTCTCTCGAACGTAGTCGCTGTGATAGTCCAGCACCGTCTGTAGCTAGTCTCTTTAGTACATCAACTCGTGCACAATTAATTTCACCTCCTCGTCTTCATTCACCTTTAGTCTATACAAGTAATACAAATTCATCTTGGGTAGCTGGAGGATATTGGCAATCACCACAAAAGAAATATTTAAATGGACCAAATCCAATGATGTCAAGAAGCTCATCACAATCATCAGGTTTGGGTACGATTGATGGTTCTGATAAGAATTCACAAGAAGATTCGCTATCGCATGAGGATGCAACTTCGTTATTCTCAGACCAAACTTTAAGTCATCGACAAAATATCTTTGAAATGCCACCAAGTCGATCGCTTTTTAGCAATACGCAGTTTTTCAATCAGCCAATAAATCATAATTTCTTTAACAACACGTACAGTAACAACAATAATACTATTGGAAGTTTTAGAAAATATCGTGAAGCTAACACATTTTTTAAATAACTTAAATATTGGAACTAATGAATTGAAATTGAATGAATATTGTTCAACTATGAAAGATCATATTAAGGGTAGTCCATGCTTTGAATAAGATATTTCCGGTTATAAACGATTATTTAAAGCATGGACCTTCTCGAAACATTATGAATAAGTATAATTTTGTGATTATAAAGTGTTTTTGTTGAAAATAGGATTGTAAATAAAAAGTTTTATTATTTTTCTCTTGTAATACTCAACTTAGCTATTGTGTAATTGCTTCTAATTTTTGTTATTTCAGGAACTATAAGGCTTCTTGTTATGAAAGGTTATGAAGTTTTCAGTATTTTTGAGAATTTTGCATCTAAGAAATTAACGGGCTTTCAAAATTTATATTTCAACGAACTTTTAAAAATTTGAATTTTTGCATCACTTTTCGCATTTTTTTGAACATATTTGAATTCATATTTTCCGTTAAGATTTCAAATTTTTAAAGTAAGTTTTGAACGACAGACAAGACCACACCTGGACACATGTATTAAATCACAAATCAAAGTGAACAACCGTTAACAATATTCTCATCAACATAAAACCACAATCATCTACATTCTCATCTTTAACTCAACTTCAATGAAAAGCACTTAAAATTAATCGAAACAGAACAAAATTTTTAAAATATTAATGACGATAAAAAAAGTTTCTCTATTCAATACCACCTCCCCGATGCACCCATCATAAAAATTCAAAACCATAAAATGACTAAAGACGAGATATTGAAAATCTCTATCTATGAATAGATTCTGTCATCATTAAAAAGGCACATGAGAGCAACAACAAGGGAACTTACTTCTTTTCATAAGGAAAGAGGAAAAAAAAATTGTCCTCGATGGCTTTTTATTTTATGGAAAAAATAAAAGTCAATGTGAAGGAATGAATATGAATGAATGAATGGTTGTATCATTTCAGAAAAATATTTAAGTACTTCTTGGTTGATTGCATGATTGAGTATTTTTGATGGGTTAGTGAAGCATTTGGATTGATTTGTGAACAAAAGGATGAGGTAGTTAAATCTTATTGTTGAATCTTGAGTTGACTTACTGGATCCTGGATAAAGTTCAGGTTAGGACAATGGCTTGCTACCAATTCTTCTTTAAAATGGAAAAATTTTGAATTCTTGTTACTTAAAAGAACAGACCTAACCTCAAAATCCCAAAATTTAGCCAGGAACAGTCAAGTTAATCCCCTCACATCCAAAATATAAAAACTACCATGCGGTTAAAAGAAGTGAATATTTATCCTCGACAGAGTTATTTTTCATTTACATATTACAAATATTTTATTGTGGTTATCATAAATCCCCAACTATATCAGTACACATTGTGTCTATATCCATCGAAAGTCACTCATTGTTCATTTCAAACATTTTTTAATGCTCACAAATTTTCTTGAGATATTTATCAGATGATATAGACATTCATAGACAATAAACGAACGCATCAGTGAAATTGTAAGCATAAAAAAGTCTCTTTCTTCTATTCAGTTCCTTTTTTTCTCTCCAATAATCTCCCTCTTGTGAATATCTATGATTTTAAAAACCACTTTTTGTCATTGACAAAAAAAAGGAGTCAACGATGAAGTAGAAAATAACAATACAATACATTTTGATCAATTTACAGCGGCAATAACATACAATACTATAAAGAGCCATTGAATTATCATTGTTGTAAGCATAGATAGAAGGAGAGAGAACGAACTGCTGTGATATTGCGGCATCCTTCTTATTTTCCTAAGGGGATCAATTTTTTTTGTGTATATTTTTTCTAGCGAGTTTAATGAGGTTCAGTTTCAAAAGTGCTCACTTTGTCTGGAAATTCATTTCTTGCCGGTTTTCAGGGTCACCTGTGGCACTCTTTTTGGTCCCTATCTTTATCACAAATGCGTTTCCTACACCCTTTCTTAACATTCCAACTTGTTAAACTTTTTTTGCAATGTTCTTCGTTTATTGTCAAAACATAAAAAATATGCAAATGATGTTGTTTCGACTGATGATGGAAGGATGGAAAGGAATCGAAATGTTTGCAAAATTCACGAATTTTCATGCAGAAACGCGCGGTATCAATAATTTAATGCAATTGAATTGAATATTGTGTGAACTTTTACTTGATTAGTTTGTTGTGTGCTACATTCGTTGTTATTGGCATTAAAGGGGATGGGAGGGTTGAATAAAAAGAGAATATATCACATGCTAATCAAAAGAGTAAACTTGACCTATAAAGACTAACTTCAAATTTGAATTCTTCCAACTTATTCCACAAAGAACGACAAAAATTACCAAAAACACTTCTGATCAACAAAAAAAACCCTCAAAGCAGCAACAAATTGTATACGACCAGCACAAAAAACTTTCAAAGAACCGATGAGTTTAATGGACTTTCTACTTGATTTACTGTTTCGAAAGGAAATTCTTCTCATCTCACATTGTTGTCCCTTTTTTATTGAGCTTACATGATTCATGTGTGGGAAAATTGATGATATTTTTTTGCCATTATTTTCACCCATATACATGCTCGAGAATATTGAGGATGTGGAAGTAGTTAAAGATGGAAAAGTGTTGGCATTTTCAAGTTTTTTCAATCATTTGATGAGTTTCAAGATGCAGAAGTTATCCTTTTTCCTTTTCTTGGGGCTGTTTATCAGTGATGTTTGTTATAAAATGAGATTTTCAACTTCCTCCCATTTTTGGATAATCAAGGGTGATCAATTACGTTTTGATCAGCATTGATTAGTTTGGCACCCTTTTAAATAGCATAGTTTCATACCCTTTACCCCTTAAAAATCTTGAACAACCCCCAACCTCTCCTCTGTTCCTAAACTATAGATGTGAAACTTTTCCATGCTGCAAAATAATCAAAAAAACTTCAAAAATTTCTTTCGATATAAAATATCAGGAAATGAAAATTTTCCATCAAATTTAATTACATCAGTAACGGCATCAGTAAAAAAAGGCATAGAAAATAAAATTTAATTGAAAAATTTTCCAGTTAATACACATGAATTGCGGCAACAAGTTGTGGAGTCGAAATTTTTTTTTAACTCAATGCGTGATGGCAGCAGTAAGTAAGGGAATAATATAAAGTACACACACAAAAAAGTTGCATACCTCGCGGCTTCAGAACAATGCGCTCTTTCGCGTATGCGAGCGTGCGGATGATGGGAAAATAGCAAAAATAGAGCAGTGTAGGAAGGGAAGCAGCAGCGAAATTTTCGCTCACTCGCGAGATATTTATCTCTAATTTTTTGAAAATGCTTTTGTGTAATAAAATTTTGTAGTCTGAGTTTGGGGAAATTTGATGATTTTGGTCATTGAATATGGAACTGGTGACTTTTAAATCTTTTCCAAGTACAGGGCTCGAAGTTGTGGTTCTGATTGGATCATATCTTGACCTTTTGTAGTTAAAAATAGAAATTTTAAAGAGGTTATGTACCACCTGAAAGACATATATTAAGGGATATCTTCTAACGGGTTGTTATAAGAGCTTATTTATAAATACCCGAGTATCATGTCATCACCAATTGACAGCAATCATGAATTTGCTTAAATTCGAAGGAAAAAATGCCAAAATAAGTCATAAAGGTGAGTAAGTTCACAGCTTACAGTTGAATTCGCGCCAAATAAGTCAGCTTCACGTTGGGTTTATTCACCTTTGTGAATTCAACAGAGAAGCTTACAATGATAATTTGCTGTTTTTGTCCTTAAAAATCTGAAAATCACTCCAAAACTCAGATCACAAAGAAATTTATTTTCGCTGAAAGCAAAACAATGCGAACAACATTTGCGTATACGCGGGAAAAAAGGGGAATAGAGGAAGTTTGTATTATTCAATGATAATTAATTATACTTATAATTAGATTTTAATGACATTTTTCGCACATATTTTTGATGTACCATTATTGACTTTCAATAGAGCATCATTGTACAGTTAATTATGTACATCACGGTTGAGGCTAATGATATAATGATGTTGTGTTTGTTTTGCTACCCGCCAAACAATTCATCCACCATCGACGACGTGCCACGAGTTGCATGATAAATATTTTTATATAATAAAAAAAAATTTCCACTGAAATTCGATACAAAATGAAAATTGTGGAAAATTTTAAATTTGAAAGGGTCACAAAATGATTTTCTGTATGTTTTCGACAACCTCATCAATTGGGTTAAATCAATTTGGGGTTATAACAAAATATTTTGTTACTCACTCCATGCTTTACATCCCCATATAACATTACTGAACGTTCAACTCCCACAATTTTGTGTTTAAACACATGTTTTTGGCAATTGGAATTGACTTATGGGCTTATGTATTGAAAGTGAGAGTTGAGTATGTTTTTTTTCCGTGCGGTTTTCTGAAACAGGTGATAATTTCATTTAAGTTTCTCTATAAGAAATTTAATTTCTTTATTGGTGTGGATTGAGAAGGAGCTGAGAGTTGGGGAGACATTTATTCATCAACCGGCATTCTTTTTTGTTCGTGTTAACCTCAAAAACCGATCAGGATGTGATGTTGGGGGACTGAAAATTTATTTATAAAAAATTCTGGATGTTCGAATTTGAAACTAGTGAAGGCACCTGAGTAGCCACAGAAACAGGCCTTAGGGAGTAACTCTGACTCTTTGAATCTTCCTGCTTCTTGTGACTCTGAATGGAACTAGAGTTTTATCAAGTTCGAGCTTCGTCAGTACATCCCCACTTCAATGACATACTCATTAATGAGCCAATCGAAGGCATCAACTAAACAATATTTTGAAAGAATCTTCAGGTTGGATTCAAATTCTATCAATTCCTCTCATCCAAGTTCAAAATATTCTTTAAAATTCATCTTAAGACTTGCCTTCACATTTATCATTATGATGCTGATGACTTTTGAAAGCGCATTGAAACATTTTTTTTCTTCCCTCATAATTTAATGTCGTAGCAAATTTTTGACACATGGTGACTGGATGCTTTAAATAGGTGTTTAATTCCGACTTTTTTAAGAAGACAGAAAAAGTTTTTTTACCCCTCAAAAATTTTCATGTCGAACTTTTTCCTTTCATCCTTAATTTGTTGTTAAATTAGTCGCAGCACCTTTGTCGAAGCATACATGTCTCACACCATCTGTGTTCAACAGAAACAAACATTAATTCCAGATAAACACGACTACATGTTGAGGGAGCAGAAATAAAAGTTGAAACATTGAAAATAATTAATTTTATTG